TCGAGCAACAAAGCATCTCAAATACGCTGTGCCGGGTATAGTCAATATCTTGGTTAGAGAATCAGTGGCTGTATTAGAAAAGAGGAGAAAGATGAAAGCAATGAAGAAAATGGGGTAAAGTGGGAAGCTGTGGAAGTGGAAGAGAGAAGTCACCATCAATGGCTGCTTCAGTTTAAATGGAAATGGCAGTAACCATGGAAACTCTCTGAGTGGATAAAGCGCGGGCTCATCATGTCTAAGAGTCATGATGATGATGATGATCACTCGTGGAATCGGCACTGAGAATTTTTAAGTTGTTTAATGTTGTACTTAGGTTAACCCGTATTACATTTGTATGTATACGAGCCTATTTTTCTTTTCTTTTTTGTTAATAGATTTAGAGCAAGGAACATTATAATACTTCTTAAACGCAAAAAAAAAAAAAAATTGTTCGTGTATGCTTAAGATTGAGTTGTACACTAATTATTGAACTTTTCTGAATTTGATTTGACCAATGTTTAATTATATAAGCTCTGTACAAAGTTAGAGACATTCTTCCACAAATGCTAAAGAGAGTGAAAAAAACCAAGGACTTTAACTTTCTGTAAGGAAAAATAGTGTGGTGGATCTGAAGTCCAAAAAAGAATGAACTACCTATAGAAGTAGTCGTTAGTTTTGCCGCCAAATGATAATAAATTTCAACTTGCACAACAATGACGACATTTTCTTCTTAGAAAACCAATCACACATGTCTGTGGTACACGTTATCTCCAACGCCCAAAATCTATCTTAAATGGACGAAGGTTATCCAAATTTTAAAAAACAATCATCATAGAATCCCCATTCCCATCTTAAGAAAAATTACACTTTTAAAGTAGACAAATATTCTCATTCTTCTCCGAATTCAACCCTCGAAAACTCGTCATTGATTAAAAAACACCACGAGTACTGAAATTGATCATTTTCTTCAGTCATTTCCAAATTTTTTTTTTTTATTTGTTCGTGTATGTGGGTCTAGCTCTTGGATATGTATCAGGTGCATACATCTCTATTGAGGTATCGGTTTCTTGTTTATCACGTTTGCAAGTTTGCGTGTTTTGTGTTTGTGTTGTTCTGTTATTGACTCTTGGCGTTTTTTTTTTCCGTTCGTCATCTCTATATTTCTCTTCTTTCTCTGTGGTGATTTATTCTCTATAAAGATTGATATTTTTTATCTTTACTTTTTTTTTGCTTTTATTTGTGGTCTTACCTTCGTTTGATGTTTGTAACTGTTTAGGTGTTGCTTGTCACTGTATTCTGCAATGGTGTCAAATGGTAGAGAATTTATCTTTATATTTACTTCTGTATCATGCTTGTGGTTTCTTTTTGTCACGATCGTATTGGTTACCTTGTTAGAAGGTTATTTGTGTATAACCTGTATAATACATAGAACAAGTAAGGGACACTTTTCTTGGGTTCGGTTATGTTTGTTTTGGATTGAAACAGAAGATGAAGCAACAGCACGAGATCAATATGAAGTGCATATGCTACTTGCTCGAGAAAGGGGTCTTTCAAGGATGGTTGATGGAGACAGGTCCTGAGGCTGAGCTCAAGTAGTTTGCTATGTACGAAGTTTGCAGAATTTATGATTACTTTATCTCTGCCAAACTCGGTGTTCATTTCTTGCTGTTCTACGTTCAACGAACTACATGTTTGTGCCTAACTCACATCAAAGCAAAATTCCTCTTGAATTTCTCATTTTGGAGATGTGCTATTCAGTCTTTAAGAGGGATATTGTCCATATTGGTATTGAAAACAATGAAATTAATATTTGGGAATTGTGATATTCGTAGGTATGATTAAGTTCAGGGTAGTGCTGTTAAATATTTTGGGACAAAGCGCCACCATAACAAGTGGCTGAAAGACATCGAAGATTATGTTGTCAGGGCTGTTTTGCAATGACTGAGTTAGACCATGGAAGTAAAGTATAAATATTTAAGTGTCCTTTTGCACATATGCAGACTATATGCATCGGTGAGCTTTGCATAAATATATTATTAACAATTTATACTTACAAATAATAATTATATTTAAAAGTGTTTCATTTACTAATTAATAAGCGGTATAAAAAGATTAAGATGATTGTGGAGTTTACCCGCAAATTAAAACCTGAAAAGTTACTTTTGTCGAACAATTATGCTGCTTGGGTGGTCAGATGAATAGGTGAGTTTTTGGTTTTTAATTAACTCATCAGTAATGAGGATTCATTTTCTATATTTCTTGTGTACATTTTTGATGCCCAAAATTGAGACCGCCAAACAGTCAGTAACCGAAAAGTAAGGTTCATATTTTTGGTCATAACTTCATTTTAAAGAAAAATGGAGTTTACATTAAAGTAAAACACAATTCCATTTTGAAGTTATTACAAAATAGAGAAAATTATAGAATTATACATTGGAAATGCCCTTAGGGACATGTAATTGATAGAAACCCTATTACTGTCAGGTTGTCTTTTTAGTATTTCTGATTTTTGTTTAAGAAACAATCTGGATGATAAATAAAATAAATCCTCCCGGAACATGCAAATGTGATTTTTTCACATATTGAGTGTTGTGTTACCGTTTTAAGGGGTAACAATGAAGATATGACTCAAAATTTTGATTATATTTCCAAATGTGCCACAAAAGAGTGTTTCAGAATATTATTTTAACTGGTCGCTTGTCTTTTAACTATTTTTATGGTTTCGATACAATTATTGGTCATCTTTAGTTTATATCAATAATTTACCTTTTTGATAGATCATTTATCTAACATTGTTATATTTATATTTGGTTTATTATTGGTAAAGTTTATTCTTCTAATTAATGTGATTAGTTGATAAAATCATTGTGCATCTGCATCCAGGAATATCTTAATAGTATTAAGATCTCAGAATTTCCGAACTATGAATTGAAATTGAAAATAAGAATACCAATTATGTTGTTTTGGAATATTGACCTTAGATGTGGTTTATGCAATAGAACAAGATTCTTGTAACAAAATTGGCCAAACATGTTATTCAAGCTAGCCACATAACTGGTGAGTATATTGGTCAAAAGGTCTTGATCCCACAAACGTTTGTTCCTCCCACTGAGACAAGATTTCTATTTAGAATGAAGCGTAGACAATTCTCATGTCTATGCAATGACTATCAATAAAAATCAATGACAGACTTTGCAAAAAGTTGGGCTGTGTTTACCAAAACTCGTATCTTCCCATGGACAATTTTTATATGGTTATATCAAGTATTATTTTGAGAGCTGGTTTAAAAACTCTGATAACGGATACTATGGGTAAGTCACAAACCAATATTTTGAACGTTGTATACAATGTTGTCTTTCAGAATGTAAAGAAACAATAGTTTATTTTATTTGTTTTGGTTTAGACCTTTACTAATTAAATGGTTTGTTTTAATGATATTTTGGTTTGCTTATGCTTCAGAAATTATATTCTTTCTCTTTTTTTCATTAATAGTTGTCTTGATTATCAAAAATCGATACTTTTATTAAACATAAAAGAAATCGAGTACAAAACCATAATAGTGTTTGAAAAATATACACTGAAACAAACTACACTTAAAGATTTGCGGTATTAGAATGTTGTACATCAACAAATATTGATGCATATAACGATAATGGTTACGTTAATAACGTGATGAGTTTTTTCAAATATATCATTATCCAACTATCAAAATTTATAGGTTTATTAATGATACAGATCACAATAACAACAAATATTCTTCGAAATTTTAAATTTTTATATATGATATATGTTTTTCATCATTATAAAAAAAAAAATAATTTGTAATCATCTTTATATACATCGCAAGCCGCGCAGATCCCTACCTAGTTCTTAGAAACAATTAATTTTCTGATTAGAATTCATCTAACATCTTAGAGCATGTCCAGTAGGGGTTTGGAGAAGGAGTTCGGGCCCGGGTTCATAGGCAAAGTGTATTTAAAAAAAAAGAAATAAAGCCCAATATTGACGGATCGGTTCGTCCGCGCGAGCTCGACGACCCCGTCTCTTCGCCACGTGTCACATTGCGATTGGGGGAGAATTCGTGGTAATTTTCGGGAAAGGAATTTTTTTCGGGCAAAAAATTCATTTCGTGTGTTTCGCCTCTTTCTTCTCCTCTCTTCATCTTCACCTGCGTTTCGAGACGACTCCGTCGAAATCGTCCAGACCGGCGTCAATTTGCGGTGGTTTGTTCATCCGAGGATCGACCATCCGTCTACATCGGCAAGGTTAGTATCTGTCCTTCCGTTTTCGTTGATTTTTGGCCGATTTGAGTTTTAGGGTTTGCAATTTTTTTTGGGGGAAAATATTGGTGATTAATCGGGGGTTTATTTGGGGGATTTATGGTTCATTACGAGATTTAGTGGCCTATTTGAAACTCATAATCGAATTTGCGAACGGTATTTGTATGATTTGAAAAAAAATATGAAATCTGGAATTTAGGGTTTACGCGATTTGGGAAAAATTTTTGGGGGTTTCTTTTGGGGTTGCAATTGGAGATTGAAACAATGAAATACAACCGTATTAGACCTATTTCAGTGGTTGATTGCATCGATTTTGAAATTTTAATCTTGGTGGAAATTTTTTGGGGCTTTTGCTCGGGGGTTCATATTGGTGTTTCCAACTATCACTAGCATCATTCGTCTATATGTTTAAAGGCATTATCGAATATGAATTTAGGCTTTGCTTGTCTTTTGTGGGTCGTATGGCTTTGTTTGTCTTGCTTTTCTTTTTTTTTTAGAACCGTCCAGGCTGATAGTGGGTCGATGAAAATGTTATTGTTTTATATCGTTTGTCTTTTGGTATATCGTTTGGCTTTGTTTGTCTTGCATTTCTTTATTTTGTTAGAACCGTCAAGGCTGATAGTGGGTCGATCAAAATGTTATTGTGCACTTACTGGGGCTTATCGAATGTGATTAACGATTGGGATTTGAATCATTTGGTGGCTTTGTTTTCAAGTATTGTTTTAGGGTTTAGGGTTTACTATGACAAAGTACTGGGAGAGAGCCATAACGATACAGCAAAAGGAAATAGATAGGGTTAAGAGCCTGCTCTACAGGGCAGGCCCCATTGATGGAAAGTTGTCGTATTGGGAGGCTGTGATTTTCGGACCGGCCGAATCGCCTTATTCTGGAGGAGTCTTCAAAGTCGGCTTGGACTTTCCTCCAGATTACCCGTTCAAGCCACCCAAGATATTTCCTCTAGAATACCCGTTTTCATATTTTCTCTTCCACTAAAACGGTTCTCATATTTTCTCATATTGTCTCTGCAGGTCTTCTTCACAACCAAGCTCTTTCACCCCAACGTAGGAGAGCGTGGACATATCTTCCTTCGGCTGCTGACTATCGACCACTTCTCACCCATTCACACCATCCATACTATTCTCAGTAAACTTCATGAGATGCTCACAAACCCTGAAATAGGTGAGGGGGACTATTACGATGAAGCCAAAGCGAAGCTCTATAAAGAAGACAAGGCGGGGTTCGATCAGCGTGCTCGGGAATGTACTTTGGAGCACGCTGGGCCTTGAAAAAATTTTTCATTCTTTCTTTATGTAAAACTACTTGTATAACTCTTGTTTTACAGTTTTCAAGTGGGATTTTGTCTTTGTAAAACATTGTTGTTGGTGTTTTAACACTCTTTCAATTTATTTCTTTAAAAAATATTTTTTTTTTTCGAGATGAACCCCAAAATGGAGTTCACTACTGGAATCCTATTTTCACCCGAGTTCTTTCCAAACCACCCAAACCAAAAAATATTGTTTTTAAATGCTGTACCCCTCTATGGTTTACTACTGGACTTGCTCTTAGAAATTGTTTTATTTTTTTCTTTTTAACTCAACGAGTCATCGACTGTCAACATACATATCCAAATTGTAGACTAAGCGTGACTCAAATACATTTACTATTTATTTAGAAATTTGGAAGAATATGTTTTATCAGATTTTTGTATTGTTAAAGTAAAAATGTATTTGTTGGAAAAAAAAGTAAAAATGTATTTATTTCGTATTTTGTCTTTTTCCTGCATTTATTTATTCTTTTTTCTATTTTGTTGAGATTTGATATTAATTTGATGATGTTAATAATAAGCTAAAATGTTTTAAAGTGAATTCCAGCTAATTTTGTAGAAAATTAGTTTTTAAAATAAAAAAATTTCTAGTCTTGAAAAATTGAAATATAGAAATTTGTTTTTGTTTTTGTTTTTGCTTTTTTTCTTAAATTGTAGAGGTTATAATACCGTTCTCGGTGGCCCAATCAGTTAATTTATACAATATAGGTTATTGTGAGATACAGGATGAATAACTATTATTATTAATAAGCAGATGAAGCAAATCCAATTTATAAGATATGGTCTAGATATGTTTCCATATACTTCTCAATTTCAGTAATTTTCCCCTTTTGAAAATATCTTATCTTTTATAATTTTTTTACTTAATCATTAAGTGGCCAGTTTAGGGCTTAGGTTTGTCAAACACTATAAATACTATAGCATATTGTGTCATATCTCACACAAAAATCTCACCAAAAGACAAATATAAAACAAAAGCATAAAAAAAAATGTCTGCAAAACAGATATTCGAGAAGTTCGACAAGAACAAAAATGGTAAACTCTCATTGGACGAGTTTTGTGAAGCGGCTCTTGCTTTCTCTAAGAACATTTCTCAGGAAGAAATCGTAAAAATGTTCAAAGAGATTGACGTGGATGGAGACGGTGAGCTCGACGCTGTGGAGTTTACTTCGAGCTTTGAAAAAATCTTGAAGGAAACATTTGCCTTTTGTGATGCTGATGGTGATGGGAAGATAACATCCAAGGAGTTCCATGCGGCCATGATTGGGCTAGGGAAGGACTGGACCGAAGAGAAATGTGCCGAGATGGTTCAAGCTGCCGATGGGTTTAATGGCTATAATGCCATAAATTGAAAAAAGTTAATCTGCTGTGCCATAAACAAGTCTGTGTGCCATAATACACATGTAATTCCTATTTTACCCTTAATGAAATTTTTTGTGGCATTCCTGAATTTAATAAAAAGTAATTGATTTTATTTAAATTGAAATTAATCATTTAAAACGAAATTAATTTTTTTTAAAAAAATTTAATTTTTTTTTTCTGTTTCTTCTTCTTCGTCGTCAAACCCTCGCCTCTCATTCTGAAAATCACCAAATCTGAAAACCACCAAATCTCATTTTCGCCGTCAAACCCTCGTCTCTCCTCCTCTTCTTCATCCTCTGTAATCACTTTATTGTTTTTATCTCCTCTCTCCACCACCATTGTTGAAGTTTCAAACCCATTTAGGTTTTTGTTTGGAGATTTGGGAATTTTACAATTTAGGGATTGAATTTCTCAAAATTGCTTGTTTGGTATGTTAATCGGGTTAGCAACCTAGTTTATGTGATGATTAGGTCTTTGCAAAGATAATTTATCAAATATAGTTGTTGAATCGTAGTGATTCTTAGGTAGAAAATCCGAGTTCATCACCAAATTTGCAGAAGAGGACAACTGGTACAAATGGTACAACTAAGAGATAAGAGGACAACTAGTACAATTGGTACAACTATGAGATAGAGGACAACTGGTACAAATAGGTATAACTAAGACAACTTAAATAATTGGTGATTGAAAATTCTTTTATTATAATTGAAAATCGGGTTGGTAAACTAGTTTTATATGACGATTAAGTATTTGCATGAATAATTTCTTAAATATAGTCGTTGAATCGTAGTGATTCTTAGGTAAAGTATAATTATATCTGAGTTCATCTCCAAATCTGCAGAGGAGGACAAGTAGTACAGTTAGGTACAACTATGTACAAAAATTGACGGTGCACATAAGTGCACATGTTATTTTGATGGATAGTAACACTTAGGTAAGTCAATCAAATCTAGAGGATTTCATTTTTGGCGGAGGATACTTTCTAGATGGAAATAAACAAGGTACAATTGGACACACATGTACAACTATATGCAATTCTTTCATTAGAAAATAATAATGATAAACTATAAATATAGAAAGCAAACATTCATTTAAAAAATGTAAAAAATTTGTAAACTATAAGGAATAAAATTAAAAAGATGAATAACATGAAATTTATCATTTTTCTAATACATATTATTGGTTTCACATCCAACACCCCTTATAATACAAAGAAGACTTTGATAATGTTAACAATCTTATGATGGAAAAGAGCCAAAATTATGATTTTGCATAAATTGTTTATGAAATAGTTGTAAATGGACTACAATAGTCAAAAATTATGTGGACAACTACAAAATAATAATTTATATCAAGGGACAACTGAAAAAAATACTAAAATTGTCAAAGGACAACTATGAAGAATTTTGGACAACTGGACAACTTAGTACAACTATGTATAAAATTGACGGCGCACGTGGTACTTTGACTGCGCACGTGTCTCTTTTTGTCGGCGCACGTACGTCTACGACTGACAACATAGTTGTACCTAGTTGTCCAGTTGTCCAAAATTTGTAATAGTTGTCCTTTGATCGATTTTATAGTTTTTTCAGTTGTCCTTCGACATAAATTATTATGTTCTAGTTGTCCACAAGAATTTCGAACATTATATAGCAGCCCCAAGTGTTTTGCGTTATTATTTTTCTATTTCTTATATTTTTGCACAGACGCTTGTATCAGATGGATAATATTGCCAAAGACTTCCTTATAACATAAGGGCTATTTCAAGTGAAACCAAAAATATTTGGTTCTTTAAACAAAATAAAGTTTTATTTTCTTCCTTCTAGTATAGACGTGAAAAGATACAGTTTTTAGGGTATGGGTTGTATTGGTTTTTAAGTAAATAATTTTAGAATTTTTTAAACACTACAATTAAAATATAGTTGTCCCAAGTTGCACCTAGTTGTCCTGGAGAAATTCATAGCGTAATTGTACCTAGTTGCACCTAATTGTCCTGGAGAAATTCATTAGTAATTGCACTGAGTTTCATCTAGTTGTCCTCGAGAAATTAAAAATAGTAATGCTAGAAATCAAAGTAATCCAAGAAATTCAAAATACAAATAACTCCAAAATAAATAGTAATACCATAAATCAAAGAAATCCAAAAAATACAAAATCCAAATAACTCCAAAATAAATAATAATGCAAGAAATCAAAGAAATCCAAGAAATCCAAAATACACATGTACACTCTAGGGCCTAAATAAGTTGAATCCTTCATTCAGCTGTACCTTTTTTTAAATTAAAGAGTTACAGATAATTGTATATACGTGTCTAACTGTACCTTGTTTATCCCCATTTGAGAAAGATTTTCTCTGCTAAAATGGATAATGTGGCTATCCAGAATGAAAATTCCTCTGCTTAAATGTAATTTCTTTAGCTAAAATAAAATATTTTCGGATAAAATAAACCCGAAAATATACACAAAGTAAGTCTCCATGCTACTTTTTCTGTGAGACCACTTATCTAATTTATTATCCGTTTTTTGTCTTTCGGCGATTTTTTTGGAGAATACAAATCACTTTTTAATTTTTTGTTTTTGTCTAATTCGGCACTAAGACAAACAATTTTTGTATATTATCAGAAATACTCCACTTAGTTTCATTTATATGTGAAATTCATTCTCCACATAAATTATCTACTCCAAAGCTGTTTAGTTTCATATATCGCAATTTTCTTACATACAATATCTTATCTACTAATACCAAATAAGTTATCTGCTCCAAATATGAGGTATTAAATGATATAAAATCTATTGAATTGCTTATGTGGTTGATGTTCATTATCTCTTGAAAATATAATAAAAAAAATTCTCAATTAACAATTATTCAAATTGTCTTAGGTATATCCATTTGTACTAGTTGTCCTCTATCTCGTAGTTGTTCTAGTTGTACCAGTTGTACTAGTTGTTCTTTTATCTCTTAGTTGTACCTTTCGTACCAGTTGTCTTTTGTAGATTTGGTGATGAACTCAGGTATAATTATAATTTATCTAAGAATTACTACGATTCAATGACTATATTTAAGAAATTATTCAGGCAAAGACATAATCGTCATATAAAACAGGATTACCAACCCGATTTGCAATTATAATAAAGGAATTATCAATCAGCAATTATTTACGTTGTCTTGGTTATACCTATTTGTACTAGTTGTCCTCTATCTCATAGTTGTACCAGTTGTACTTGTTGTCCTCTTATCTCTTAGTTGTACCATTTGTACCAGTTGTCATTTTCTGCAGATTTGGTGATGAACTCGGATTTTCTACCTAAGAATCACTACGATTCAACAACTATATTTGATAAATTATCTATGCAAAGACATAATCATCACATAAACTGGGTTACCAACCCGATTTACATATGAAATAAGCAATTTTGACAAATTCAATCCCTAAATTGTAAAATCCCCAAATTTTCAAACAAAAACCTAACTGGGTTTTGAATCTTCAACAATGGTGATTGGGAGAGGAGATAAACACAGAAACTGATTGCAGAGGATGAGTAAGCAAGGGTTTGATGATGAAGATGAGATTTTGGTGGTTTTCAAAATCTGTCGATGTTTTAACGACGAAGGAGAATAAGAAAAAAAGAAATATTAAGAAAATTAAAGAAAATTAATTAAAAGAATTAAAAGAAATTGCTGGAGAAGAGAAAAAGAATTTAAGTAATTAATAAATAAAAAATAAAATGGGTTATCGAGTGGGCTGAATTCGGGTGGATATTACCCTGGTTTTTTTGTTAATATCTCGACATATGAGGAGAATGAAAGAATTTCCAGGGTTAACTTCATTTAAAAAAAATCGAAAAAAAATAATTATTAGAGTGATGGCATTTTAGCCTGTTTTTTAGCGATACATGGCTTTTCAGCCGAGCGCTCCTGCCGATGCAGATGGTGATGATTATTTGAGCTTGGAGGAGTTTATGGCTATGATCATTGGCCTCTTCTAAGAAATGAGTGATCTGCTTGCTTGGTAAAAGTGTTTGCTTATTGATGTTTATCTTGTTATCGGTTTAGAGTTTCTTGACCGTTTGTTATCTTTATAAAATAAATTCAAGTGCATGTTGTTGAATATTGCACATGTCTAATGCTATGGGCCATCATCAAGGCTTACCTAAAGACTAGTGAAATCTTATATAAAATTTATAATTTGTTCTAATTTTTTTAATTCAAATTCTATTGACGTTAGCTCTTAAAAATTAGGACAATTATAGTTAATATTTCTCCAAAATATAAGATTAATTCTTAAAGTGAATTTTTTTTTAAGTTATCTTTGTTTGTACCTCTATCACTATGGTATAGACTTAAAGTTGTTCTGAAATTTTATTTAAGAGAATAGTAATTTAGCAGGGAATTATAACGAGTGAGCAAAAATAAGCAAAACATATAAAAATATGAGCAAAAGAAGTGGAATATTATTTTCAAAAATCTGTAAGTTTAAACTTGGGACATCAAAATCAAAATAGTTACATTCTCAAGTATCATTGTATTAACGAATGCAACAATATGAAATGTTATTATTTATTTTTTAAGTCTAATTTATGGCACAAGATATTCCAACCGATTGCTACATTATAAACAATATCAATTTCATCATACCACGACTGTATTCCAAAAAGGTTAAATTAAGACGTGAAAACATATGAGCGAGCAAAACACAGCATATTAGTGGTCCTGACATGCTAAGGCTGAAACCAGATTTCAGGTTTCTCGATTCAGAATTGTAGGTAAGATAACAGCAACTTCGATCTTTATTTAAACAAAGGTACTGTAAAAAAAATTTTAGGACGTCCATGGATAAAGTAATTTAAAGGTGGTATGATAGAGTTCAGAGATCGCAACTACTGTAAACACTCCTCTTATTGATCCTGTTATTGATATGTAAACAGATCCATACAAGAGACAATTACACATAATAAGAAACAATCTCTTTTCTCTCTGAGTAAATCTTTCTCACAAACACCTCGATAACGGTCGTTGGCATTGTTGAGGAGCTCATATCACTCTCCGATCACATTCAACAACAAAAGCATAAAGACTCTTAAACTCTCGCCTCCTCTATTTATACTCAACCAGGCTCTTAAACTCTCGCCTCCTCTATTTATACTCACCCCGAGGCTTTACTTTAATCTGCCAGCTCATCTTCACTTTAATCTGCCAGCTCATCTTCAGTTGACACTACATTGACACTCTGAGACGTATCATGGTATTTCTAATTTTTCGTCCTTCACATGCCCTACAATCTTTCATCCTTGATCTTATTGACTGGCAAAGATGAAAGATTGTAGAAATACCTAAGGTTTTTATCCTCGGTAAAACTCTAGGAACAGCCTTAACGCTTTCATCCTCATAGGGTTTTGCTATGCACAAACAAAATGAAAACAACAAAATAAAAAGGTATAAGTGTTTTGGAGTGTGTGTTTTCGTTAACAAGCTATTAAATTATATATGATATATGATCTTTGACATTTCTTATTTGCTACGTACATTACAAAAACCAATACAGTTGATTCAATAATGATGATAAACTTTTAGCAAAAAATAAAGTAATAATGATGATAAACACATTCTACGTACTGTAATTCATCCCATATACACCAGACCTCATATTTGGTTATTTCAAAGGATCTTCAGCATCAGGGAAACGGTGATTGAACAAAATAAAAAACGATTCTTAAAAAAAAACAATAATAACGATTCTTCTCAAACCCTAATCGCTATTAACGAGAATTTTCTTCTAGCTATCCACCTCTCTATCCGTCTAGATATTTATTTTGACATGCTCTCAGTCAGTCAGTTGATAAGGCATTAATCTCTTCAAGACTCATGCTTCTCCTCTTCTATAGTTCTATGATAACGCATTAATATCTTATCATTGAAGGCGTAAGCACTTAAAACGAGTCAACTTCAATTAAAAATTGTATACAACGAATCAACAAAGTTTGATTACGTGATTGTTGTAAGAATGTTTTCTTAAGGTGACATATGTGTCTATGGATCAAGTTCACATTAATGTTCAAAATTCTAACATAAAAGACAATACTATGATGGATTAGTTTTGATTGAGGATGTTAGAATTTGGGTTTATTGATGACCCTCTTCCTTACCTTATGATATTAAATCTTTTCATTAAGGGTATTATATATTAAAAGGATGTGTGTTCTAATTATGATGATTACATGTGTGTTTTCTTGTAGTAAGACATATATAGTTAAGTGTGTCTAATTATGATTGGTGCATATGTATTTGTTGACACATGTTATGCTTAAGAAGTGTAAGCTTAACACTTGCCCTCATACATGTCACTATTAGAGAGGGTTTAGATTACTATATAAGGGTTCATAGTCATAAAGTTTTGAAACTAACATACAACACACTAGAACACACATCTATAAAAGCTAAAAGAAAGAAAGATTTAGATCTCCTCTCCATCAAAGGGATCATAAAAAAAAGGTTAAGGAAGAAGAAATCAAGCTCATTCCCATCACAAACACTAAAAGAAAACATGGATCAATGTAAGTGTTTCTACTTCTTCTATAAAGTATATTTGGTTGGATTATAATGAATCTAGATGATCTTGGGATTAATTTCATGAACTGAAATTATTAAAGTCTAAACTTACATTTGGTATCATTGTTTAATTACCATGCATGAAGAGTTCTTTGCATATAATTGTTAGATCCATGTGCCTTTATGAAAAGATTTATTATTATAGTAATTGTTATGATTTAAGAGAACACCATTTAAAAAAAAATAAAACTTGAACAGTTGATTTAGTTTTTTGTATGTTGGTGTCTCATATGTTTTTAAAGTCACAATTAAAGTTCTAGTTATGAATTGTTAACATAAGAAAGGTTTAGTTACCATTAAATTTTTAATGTTTATATTGTATATATAGCATGTTAGTCACCAAAGTGGCTTTGTTATATTACATATCTACATTGAAAAAAAAAAAATAGTCAATTGATCATAATAAAAAAAGATGCTGTAAATGATATTAAAGTTTGATTGATCAATTGTTTTACTATCTATATTAAATGAGATCACCCAAAGGTGAATCATTTAAATATAATTAGTAATATGAAAAGGATTAACCATTTTTTACTATGGTCAATAACATGTATACCCAAAAGTAGCATATTTATTTGATTTGTGTATGATGTGGCTAGTCATAAAAGTATAGATTTTAGCATCAATTAAAGTTTATGCATTTAAGTATTGCCCAAAGGTTGCTTAAATTCATGCTTTAAAGTTTATATTACAGTGTCTGAATTTGTATTAAAGTCTCAAAGTATTAAAGGATAAGCATGTATAAATATTTGCAGCTTCGTCAAATGTGTTTGCATCAGCTAACTCTGTCGCCAAGTTCAATAGGCTTAATTATGGGGAATGGTCTGAACAGATCCGGTTTACACTGGGTGTTATGGCATTGGACTCTGCCATATTGACAGAGGAGGAGCCCTCAGCCATTACAGTAGATAGCTCTGAATCTGAAAAGTCTCGGTATGAGAGATGGGAGCGATCTAACAGGCTGAGCTTGAACCTTATGAGGTTGACGATGGCGGAACGTATTAAGCCATCTATGCCTAAGACAGAGAAAGCAAGGGAATTCTTGCAGAAAATTAAGGAGTGTTCACAATCGGATTTGGTTGATAAGTCAATTGTAGGAAACTTAATGAATGAACTTACTACAAGAAAGTTTGACCGATCGCAGCCAATTCATGATCATGTGACACACATGTCGAATTTGGCCGCAAAGTTAACGACCATGGGAATGGAGGTTCATGAACAGTTCTTGGTTCAATTCATCATGAACTCTCTTCCTTTTGAGTTTAGCCAGTTCCAGGTGAATTACAACACATTAAAGATAAATGAAACTTTAAAGAATTAAAGGCTATGCTGATTCAAGAGGAAGGGAGATTAAAGCAGATGAGGGATCAAGTTGTGAATCTCGTAGGTCTTGGTGCCAGCAGCAATAAAGGAAAACCAAGAAGAAAGGACAACGGGAAGGAAAAGTTTTCAGGAAGGACCCTGAAAGCAAAATTCATAAGGAAAAGAAGTGTTTCTTCTGCAGACAAAAGGGACACTTCAAGAAAGATTGTCCTAAAAGGAAGGCATGGTTTGAAAAGAAAGGTAAACATTATAGTTTTGTTTGCTCTGAACTGAACCTTATAGAAGTGCCTAGTAATACTTGGTGGTTAGATTCTGGTGCTACTACTCATGTGTCTCATATTAAGCAGGGATTCAGTTCGATCCGGTCCATAAGAGGACCTGAACAGTTTTTGTTCATGGGAAACAAGATGAAGGCAAGAATAGAAGGCATAGGGACGTATAGATTGTTCATGGACACTTGATGTCATATTGATCTTGAAAAGTGTCTCTATGTACCTGAATGTACTAGAAATCTTGTTTTTGTAAGTAGGGTGGACAATTTAGGTTTTGATTTCAAGGTTGGACATGGTGTTTTCTCCTTGTACCGGAATAATTATCTTTTTGGTAGTGATACTTTGTATGATTCACTTTATAAGTTCAACCTTGATGAAATGTTTTCTGAATCCTTGTTTAATATTGAAAGTCGAGGTGTTAAGCGTAGTGCATTAGATGAAAATTCTGCTTTCTTGTGGCATCAAAGATTAGGTCACATTTCCAAAGAAAGGATTATGAGGTTAGTTAAGAATGATATTCTTCCTCAATTGGACTTTAGTGACCTAAATGTATGTATAGATTGTATTAAAAGAAAACAAACTAAACATACAGTAAAGAAAACAGCCACAAGAAGCACTCAGCTATTAGAGTTAATACATACAAATGTTTGTGGTCCTTTTGATGTTTCGTCTTGGAGTGGTGAAAAGTACTTCATCACCTTTATCGACGATTACTCATGTTATGGATATACATATCTACTGCATGAAAAGTCTAAGTCAGTGAATGTCCTAGAGGTGTTCATTGATAAAGTGGAAAGGCAGTTAGATAGAAAACTAAAGGTTGTAAGGTCTGATAGAGGTGGTGAGTATTATGGAAAGTTCAATGAAAGTGGACAATGTCCAGGTCCATTTGCAAAGCTTCTTGAAAGTAAAGGCATTTGTGCACAGTATACAATGCCTGGTACTCCTCAGCAGAACGGTGTAGCTGAGAGGCGGAATCGTACATTAATGGATATGGTTAGGAGCATGTTAAGTAATTGTTAGTTACCTCTTTTGTTGTGGGTATATGCATTAAAGACTGCGACGTATGTGCTGAATCGGGTTCCAAGTAAGGCAGTTCTTAAGACCCCTTATGAACTGTGGACAGGAAGGAAACCTAGCTTAAAGCACATACGTTTCTGGGGTTATCTAGCAGAAGTAAGGTTGTATAACCCACATGAAAAGAAACTTGATTTTAGGACTGTCAGTGGATTTTTCATTGGCTATCCTGAAAAATCAAAGGGGTATACGTTTTACTGCCATAACCATAGTACGGGAATAGTTGAGGCGGGCAATGCTCGGTTCATTGAGAATGGTGAAACTAGTGGGAGTGGTGAACCACAAAAGGTAGACATTAGAGAAATACAAGTTGAAATTCCTTCACCTAGTATTGCACCTAAAGTTGTTGTTCCTGTTATTGCATCACAGTCAAATGGCACAATAAAACAACATGAAAGTGTGCAAAACCCATTAGCTGAAAGTACAGTTAATGAACCTATCACAATTCAAGAAGAGAATAGTGTACCACTAGAACCATTAAGGCGATCTGGAAGGGAAAGAATATCTGCCATTTCAGATGACTATGTGATTTACACTATTGAAAATGAATTTGATTTAAGCATTAATGAAGACCCAAACTCATTCCAAGAAGCCATGGAAAGTAATAATTGTGAAAAGTGGTTGATTGCTTCGAAAGAAGAAATGAAGTCTATGGATGATAACAATGTATGGGACTTAGTAGAGTTGCCTAACGGTTTCAAGACCGTTGGTTGTAAATGTGTCTTTAAGACTAAACGTGACTCGAAAGGTAACATTGAAAGGTACAAGGCTCGCCTTGTTGCTAAAGGTTTCACCCAAAAGAACGGAATCGACTACAAAGAAACCTTCTCTCCAGTTTCAAAGAAGGATTCTCTAAGAATTGTTTGGGCTTTGGTGGCTCAGTATGATCTTGAGCTTCACCAAATGGATGTGAAAAGCGCCTTTCTGAATGGAGAGCTTGAGAAAGATGTATATATGGACCAACCTGAAGGGTTTGTGGCCACAGGAAAAGAGCATCTGGTATGTAAGCTGAGGAAGTCAATATATGGACTAAAACAAGCTTCCAGACAATGGTATCTAAAATTTAATAATACCATTACGTCATATGGTTTTGTAGAGATCATCGTTGATCGTTGTATCTACATTAAGGTCAGTGGGAGAAAGTTTGTGGTTTTAGTCTTATATGTTGATGATATTTTGCTTGCTGCAAATGACATGGGTATGTTACATGATATAAAGAATTATCTCTCTAAGAACTTTGAAATGAAAGATATGGGTGAGGCATCTTATGTGATTGGGATAGAAATTCTTCGAGATAGATCACAAGGTAGGTTAAGTTTGTCTCAGAAAGGATATATTCTTAAAGTCTTAGAGAGATTTAGAATGGAAAATTGCTTCGCAGGAATAGCTCCAATTCAGAAAGGCGATAAGTGCAGCAAAATGCAATGTCCGAAAAGTAAATTAGAGCGTAAGGAAATGGCAAGAATTCCTTATGCGTCGGTGGTTGGGAGTTTCAACTATGTTCAAACATGTACTCGACCAGATATCAGTTTTGCTATTGTTATGTTGGGTCGATGTCAAAGTAATCCCGGAATAGACCACTGGAAAGCTGCAAAGAAGGTTCTCATGTACTTGCAAGGCACCAAAGAGCACATGCTTACATATAGGAGATCCGATCATCTAGAGATCATTGTATATTCAGCTTCAGACTATGTCGGATGCATCAATAGCAGGAAATCGATGTTTGGCTATATGTTCCTATTAGCTGGAAGAGCAGTGTCATGGAAAAGTGGAAAGCAATCTGTCATTGCTACTTCCACTATGGAGGCTGAATTTGTGGCATGCTTTGAGGCTACAATTCATGCATTATGGCTGCGGAACTTTATCTCAGGGCTTCAAATTGTCGATAGTATAGAGAAGCTGCTGAAAATTTATTGTGATAATTCCGCAGCTGTCTTTTTTTCAAAGAATGACAAGTATTTGAAGTGTGCTAAGCACATGGAGTTAAACTACTTGTCTGTCAAAGAAGAAGTACAGAAGCGTAGAGTGTCTTTTGAGCATATTTCGACGGAAGTAATGGTAGCGGATCCGTTGACTAAAGGATTACCACCCAAGGCGTTTATTGGCCATGTAGAACGTATGTGTATCTATACTATAAAAGAGGGTCAACTCTCTCCAGCTGTTTGCCACGTCAGCACTGGAGAGAGCGCCACGTGGCTTTGATAATTTTAGGGTTGACCGTCTCCATTCACCTCTGTCGACTGTCGCTTCTTCTTCTTTCTTTTTCCTTTCATATTTTTCTCTCTTCAGCTTCTTTCTTAACTTCATCCTCCTTTGTAACTCTCATCCTACACTAATGAGTGAGAAAGATGTCTCTTTGGCAAAATGTTAGAAAAAGAAATTCAAACAGAGGAGACGTCGCAAAGATTTAGAGTAATTCTAAATTGGTGAAGAAAGGTGTCTCTTCCGATGAAGGTTCAGGTTCGTTTCTAGAAAGCAAAACATTGCTCTTAAATCTAAACATCTCCTCTGAATTGATTTTGGAAAAAGACCTCCCCAGTTACTACCCTCTTACTATTCTCTTATTGTCAGACTTTGCTTAATTACTCGACGTGGGCGTCGACAGATTGTCTGATGCTTCTTCGTCGCCTCCGATCGGTTATGCTATCACTCCTCCTCCGTGGCAGGTATCTCATCAATTGATATTAACCTAAATCTCACAAGTTTCGAAAATTTGCCCCCATGATTAGTTCAGTATAATGGCTGTTAGATTGACTTTCAGAAGTAAAGGTATGAGATCTGTATATTTTAGAAGAGATTTTTTCTCCAATTCAGAAGATTAATGGTAATTATCTGTCCTTTGGGCAGGTCATAATGCAAGATTAACGGAAATAAGTTGGTTAACAGCCTACATCTCTTACGGAATCGAACAGGTTAAGTGGGTTATTTAAAAATCTCTTTCAACTTGGAGGCTGCCTCTTTCTCATCTCTATGTTGTTGTCAAGTCGGTTTCCGAAAATGGGGTTCAATCGACCAAACCTATCATTAAAATTAATGGTATTGTAATATTGTTGAAGGTAATAAACCTTACATATCTCTATTATTTTGCTTTTACTTAAATCCATTGGAAATCGAATTTGAACACCAAATATACAGTCATGGCTCTATTTTTATGATTAAAAAAGAAGAAACAGATTCATGAGTGATAGTGTTGACAGAGAAGAGAATTTGGCAGCTGTGGGTATGATTAAAATGTGTTTTCTTATCCTATATTCTTTTCAGTGCTTAGGTTTTTTGCTTCACATTCTTCCTCTCTTGAAATAGAGTTAGTTCAGAAGAACAAATTTGGGAATTCATCAACACGATTGACAAGGGTTTTAAGTTGAATTATCTTCCAAAAGGTAAGTTTTTTATCATCTATGTGAATTATGCGATGTATAACTGTACCTTTTTCTCATCACCCTTTTGTGATTAGTTGGGTAATCTGTGGTATTTCAATAGTAACAAAAGTGATTTAAATTTGTTGTCGTTTCTGCACATTTGAATACAATCTGCTTACCTTTCCTTAAACCCTTCTTATGCAGAGGTCATATATCAACTATATTCATCCAATAAGGCGTACAATGAGAGCATATAACAACAGTTCTTCTGTTTTTCTTGTGAGTTTCTTATCTAATAGTAACATTTTATTGGTAAGACCTCTTCAAAGAGGTCTGCCTAATGCTTTGGTATATTTGGCCATAGGTTTCTCCCGCTGAGATAAGTGTTTCAAGAGATAGAAAACAAAAAAAATTCTTAGCAGGCGAAGACACAAGGATTTAGTTGGAAATGTGGTGGCTTATTTTAAGATATAGAGTTGAGGTGAGTAATATCTGTAGTAATGTAAGATCAATATAAGAGGAGATTCAGTGGAAGATAATGTTTAGAGGCTTGAATCTCTGTTCACATTATTTCCTGATAAATACTACAGAATTGTGATTGTTGCTTTTACTGGAAAATTATTCATATCATGGCAGGGAAAGAACTGCAACTAATTTATTTTCATTTCATCTCTCAAATTCTTTTACCAGAATAAATATATATCACCGGAATCCCTGAAATGGAAGCTAAAGTTATTATATTTCATCTCTGGAGTTCTCTGCAATGTACTCTATATTCGTGTCGTTGGAAGGAGCAAGACCTTGGAGTAAATCAGGGATTCATGCCTTATGCTCTTTACATATTGCACTTGAGATGGCGAAGAATATTCTTCAGCATTGTTCTAAGTGTAGTAAACTTTAGTTGGTGAGTTTTTCTCTTAATTTTGCCCCTCTCTCTCTCTCTGGATGAGTTTTACACTCCCTCAGTAACACAATTGATTTATATTCACATGAAGAGGATTGTTTGCAATTCAATATTCCATTGGAGTGGCTTGCCAATTTTTTTTTATGTCATTGGTGCTATATTTTTTGTATCACATGTATAATATATAAAGTTCATTTTGTTTGTGTTTTGGCTGCAGAAATTCTTTAAGACGGCATGAAGGAGCACTACTTGCATATGAATGTCCTAGCAAGTATTGAAAGCTATACATGAAGCTATATTATATACTCATGGGTTAATGTCCCATGCTTTTCTGTTTCAGTCTCGCCCACTCAAAGCTATCATTATCTTCAATGATCCGGAGTCAGAGCTGTCCTATCATTAGTCTTATATGAGAAGGAAGTCCTCCTTCTCGCTTGGTGGTATGCATCTTCTCTCTCTCTCTCTCTCTCTCTCTCTCTCTCTCTCTCTCTCTCTCTCTCTCTCTCTCTCTCTTTGGTCTGACTAACATGTGTGTTTTTGTTCAGCGAATCACTTAATCGAGATCTTTATGTCTCTTTCGTACTACCTACAAAACAAAACAGTTACAAAAATGTCTTGATCCTGATCGTTGGGGGGGACTGGTCTCCTACTACAATAATCTAATTGTTGGACGTCAATAGGTTTTGCCAATTACTCTGATTATCAACCTTTGTCAAAAATAAGTATCTTGGACTAGAAATGTGTTGAATCTGTATATGAGGTATTCGTTGACAATATATACATTATCAATGTTGGTTTCAGGTTTAGAATTTGCAAAATGAAAAGTGAAAACTATGAAGAATATTTTGTTGACAATAAGTTCAATGTACCGATTAGTTCAAACGTTTAGCTTCTAACACATTAACAGTCTCCATCTGTTTTATTATGAAATACGTATACCTCATACCATAAGTTATTCACTTATTCCATTCTACTTAAATAATAACAATACAAAGTTTGCAAAATTACATCAACAAAAATCGGTATTACTTATCAAAATTTTCAAACAACCAAAAAAAAGAAAAACAAATAATTATTATAAAACCACCCGCACGTAGTGCAGGCACTCACCTAGTTATAGATAAAGCCTTGTTATTATAGTTATGGTTTGCTTAGTATGGTTGTGACACTGTGAATTCACTTAAAGTTATTACGTTTCTGGTTTATAAATTATGTTATCATTAAAGAGTGTACATGTACGGTTTATAGATAACATAAGGTTAGATTGAGAATAAAAGTTCTTCTCAATGTAAAGTTAGTTCGAGAATAAAGGTTTTTCTCGATGTAATGTTAGTTTGAGAATATAGGATCTCAACATAAAAGAAGCTATATATATATATATATATATAAAATTAGGATTGGTTGTGATACATGGAAGGGATCATGTCGATTGAATGACTTGTAACCACCATGATTGAATTAATTCTGATTTTATTGTTATAGTTAAAAGATAAGTGAACTTGATATAAAAGCGCGCTTTAAAGTTAATAAAATCATCAAGTCGACACATATGTCAAGTGGGAGAATGTAAGAATGTTTTTTTATGGTGACATATGTGTCTATGGATCAAGTTCACATTAATGTTTAAAATTCTAACATAAAAGACAATACTATGATGGATTAGTTTTGATTAAGGATGTTAGAATTTGGGTTTATTGATGATCCTCTTCCTTACCTTATGATATTAAATCTTTTCATTAAGGGTATTATATATTAAAGGGATGTGTGTTCTAATTGTGATGGTTACATGTGTGTTTTCTTGTTATAAGACACATATAGTTAAGTGTGTCTAATTATGATTGGTGCATGTGTATTTGTTGACACATGTTATGCTTAAGAAGTCTAAGCTTAACACTTGTCCTCACACATCTCACTATTAGAGAAGGTTTATATTACTATATAAGGGTTCATAGTCATAAAGTTTTGAAACTAACATACAACACACTAGAACACACATCTATAATTAAAAGAAAGAAATATTTAGATCTCCTCTCCATCAAAGGGATCATAAAAGAAAAGGTTAAAGAAGAAGAAATCAAGCTCATTTCCATCACAAACACTAAAAGGAAACATGGATCAAGGTAAGTGTTTCTACTTTTTCTATAAAGTATATTTGGTTGGATTATAATGAATCTAGATGATCTTGGGATTAATTTCATGAACTGAAATTATTAAAGTCTAAACTTACAATTGTCACCAAAATATAATATCGTGTATACTGAACCATACGGTAGTGATGGTATGATATATCATATATTACTGTCTTTTGTTGTGAACTTCATGAAGCGTACATTTTAGATATTGCTCGGCCATAAATCATGCTCATAATTAGATTAAATATATATATATATATATATAATCTCTACAAATTTGTTTTTAGGTTGAATTAATGATGGAGACGACAATTCAATTGCCTGTTCTACAAAAATCTTCCAGCTCAAATTGGCAGTCTCGTAGATATCAGGAAGAAATCGGCAGTCTCGCGATCATGTTGTAGGTTAACATCGCTTGCATTGTTTGTAAATTCAGCTGGAGTGCAAACGTGTTTATCATACAAACAACAAAATATTTGTTTTTAATATCAAAGGATAATTTACTTTATAATACAGAATTAGCATTCCTCTATTTTAGAGTTGAAAATAAAAGTGAGTTAGAGATGTTCTTAGTCATTAATTAAACACAGTATTGTCTGTATATGATTTGTTATTTTTTTTTGTGTGCAGAGCATATGATTCTAGAGACTCTAGTTAACATAGTTATATATCGTGAGCAATTTGAGGCAAACAAAAAAATTTGCATTAAACAACGTACTTTAGAAACCTTAACAACTGTAAGAACTGGATTTCATCTATCTTGTATATAGTTGAAATCAGTTTGGGTTTAGGAGATATTATTACCAAAGAAGTCGGAGTTGGGTTGTTTCTATGATAAATTATGATTTTATTGATATTATAGTTGCATCTTGTAAAATCTGTCTACGTAATTTTAAAAAGGGATCAAGTCATTCGTAGTTCAAGTTATATAAAAGATTAAGTTTTTAGAAAGACGAGCTAACCTAGAAAAGAAAAAGAAGCCATCAAGGTCTTCTGTGAAATTTTTGTTTTCCGAATGAGGAGGAGTCTCTTCTATTTCTTTTTCCTATTTGGATTTGTATTTTAGTTTTACTTTTTTTCTCGGATAAAAATCAGAAATATTTCACGAAGTTCAGATGTTAATGTAGATATTGTAAGTCAGGCTTAATAAGTCTATAGGTACGTAGTTAATGGATCGAATATTCTTTAGATATGAACCATCATAAACCGAGATCAACTAAATCGATCTTGATTCATACCAGGTTAAACCGAGAATGCGGAATACATCTCCAACAGCAAAAAAAAACTACGAGATGAGATGATCACTAGAAACAATATATCTTCTACTAGAAATACACAATACAAGGTGAAATATTTAAGCAAAAAAAAACAAAAAATAACCCAATCTCAAAAATTAAGAGTAATACATATGGTATCCAATAACTACAAAATTAGGTAGGAAAGTTTGACCACTTTTTCTACGGTGTTTCATGCAAGTAAAAGATATTTTACTCCTCTAATTATTTTTTGCATTCTTTCTCTCTTTTCTCCTTCCTCTTGTCTTTCCTCTTCTCCAATGATAGCATCTTTCTATTGATGGTAAAGCAGAATATAAAAAAACTTTATTTCTCTGCTTATTGCTAGTTCTTCATCCTCATCTTGGATGTTTTCACCAGAATTAGTGAAGTGAGGTTGAACGGAGATGGCGGAGAAGCTAACTCATATGGCCACATGATCCAGCTTCATCCAAGAAATAACATTCATTGTTGTTTGTTCTCTTTAATTGATGGTATTCGATTTCTGTTAGAAGCAATTAGTCTTCCTAAAACCAGCTCAGAGTTGAAATACACCTTAGAATTTAGTTGGTTAACATCTAATTTTCTGGGTAATTAATTAGTTACATCTAATTTCTTTTTAGCATTGCATGTAATACATAATAATTACAAATATACTTGTAATCAAGTTCCCAAAAATGTGAACTAAGTACAACTAATATTATCACTATTATTATTATTTGATTTTTATTATGTTAACACGTTAAAAGTATAAGATATTCTTGTTAACATGTCATAAATAGCAGATATTATTGTTAGACTATGTAAATTGGTTTCAATATTAACACCTTACTTTTTTCTCTTTTAACACTCCACATCATCATCTCTCTCTTTCACCTAATAATTCAATATTCATTCAATTTTTAATTTCTACAATGGTTCTGTTTAATAAAATTCAGCCTCTTACCCCATTATTTAAATAATTTATATTTCAATATATTATTTAAAAAATATTTTTTCTGTGTCCAAATTGAATAAAACAAGTCTCTATTAATAGAGTACAAAAATGATGAATTTTGACATAATTTTTATTTTCAAAAATAATAATTTTCTATAAAATAATTGATTTCAAATAACTAGAGTGAAATAAAAATAAGAGATAAAAACAGTTTTTCTCTTTGTGTGAATATGAATGGTCTATGTAGCATCGTGTCTCTACCACTTTTGTTTTTCAACATGTTGAATTTATTCAACACCAATTAATCTACATCAGATTCACACATTTTTCAACACACCCATTATAGCAATTCAACAGTTGAATATATATATTTTTCACCACCTCTTAGTCTTAGCACATTAACTATTAGTTGGATCTTTAATATGTTAACACATTCTAAGTACCGATAACTCAGAATTACTATTGTTAACATGTTAATATTCTTTTCAAAATTGATTTATATTGATGTTTTAAATTTTTTATGATATGATAACTAAATTAACATGATAAATATGTAGTTAACATGTAATTTGAAATTGATATTTCATAATACGATAACTGATTAGACATGATAAATATATGGTTAACACATATAAAATGTTAAGATATCACGATATAATTTTAGTTATCATATTCACTTATCGGATGAACAGTATTGATACAATCAGATGAAAAGTGTTAACGACTAAATAAACAATCCAAAAAGATATTTTCAAAACAATGGCATTTTTTTAATTAATCTAATATAAAAAAGATAATTATGGTATATTTTTTTCTCTTTTCTATTCTCCTAATTTTTAAACTAACGTTGCTACTTATCTAATTTAATGGTCAATTGTATATATTGATTAAATCACTCTAAAATTAAAATGATTAAATAATTGTGCGTCGGGTCGGGTCGGGACGGGTCGGGTCAGGTAGATCCATAAGTTTTGACAAGAGAGACAAAAAGACAGATCAATCTGTCTGAGAGGATCTTGAAGTGGAGAGTATCGAAGAAATGATGAGGAAACTCGCACAGAGAGATGTATCTGACTGTTCATCAATGGAGGTGGAGCCTGTCATAATCGGTGCGCTAGTTCTGGATGTTCACGCCAAGCCCTTAGCCCCACCAATCTCAGGATCCACCGTCCCAGGCCAGGTTTTAATCACATTTTCTTGCGATTTGTATGGCAATCTGTCATGTGGTTGTAATTAAAGCATCGAGGTTTTGGTTATCATAGGCTTCTTGTCTTTTGATATCAGGTCTTGTTTGCACCTGGTGGTGTAGCAAGAAACGTAGCTGAGTGCATCTTCAAGCTTGGAATTAGACCTTTTATGATTGGTACTTTGGGATTTGATGGCCCAGGTATGTTATCTCGATAGTGTTATGCAACAGATTTCACCTGAAACGTTTCTTGCGAGCTTAATTTTGTTCTTTTTGTTTAAATACACAGCCAATGTATTATTGAAAGAGTGGAAGCTCTCCATGGAAGGTTAGCTTTTTCCTGCAACTTCTCTAAACTCTTGTGGTTTCTCTTACGAAAGGATCGGTATTGCGTTGTATAGCAAGGAACCTGATGCATGATTCAGTTGAAAAGTCTTTGTCTTTTTAAGAGAAATCAATTTTAGGAGATTTCATAACAAGTGAGACCAATTTGATGAATACTGTTTCATATCTATATATCAAATATTCAATCAAATTTAGTCCTTTTTCTTTGTCTCTGACGGTTGAATGTGACAAGCTTTTGTTTTGGTCAATGATGCAGGAATCTTGAGACGCGAAGACATCAGTACTCCCATTGTATCGCTTGTATATGACATTAATGGAGAAGTTGCTGCTGGTGTTGCTGGTGTGGAAGCAGTTGTATGTATCTTTTTCATTTGTAATACCGTAATAGAATGTTCATCTAATCCATCTCATCTTTTAAGTTATGTTTTAAACTGTTTTCTGGAGCAGGAAAAGTTTCTGACACCTGAGTGGATCCAGCGGTTTGAATACAACATAAGCAACTCTCCTGTTCTTATGGTAGATGCAAATCTCAGTACTCTTGCTTTGGAAACATCTTGCAAATGTAATGCTTAAGAGTTTCTCGGTTTGATTGTATGGTTAATTCTTCGTTTTGACTGTCTTCTTAACATTTTTGTTCTTGAAGTGGCTGCAGAGTTCAATGTTCCTGTATGGTTTGAGCCCGTGTCGGTCACAAAGTCGCAGAGAATCACCTCAATTGCCAAGTATGTGAGTGTTATGTCTCCATACTCATGAAAGTTAGATTCTTTTCCTTTGTCTATATTGCAACTTGCAAACCAACAGATTTTAGGTTTTGTATCTTGACATAGGTAACGATAGTGTCCCCAAACCAAGACGAACTCATAGCAATGGCAAATACTCTCTGCGCCAAGAAACTGTTTCACTCCCTTAAATCAGAAGAGAATAAGCTTTCACCTGAAGATATATTCACCCTGCTAAAGCCAGCTATTTTGGTTCTTCTTGAAAGTGGCATTAAAGTAGTTATCGTAACCCTTGGCTCCAATGGAGCTCTCTTATGCTCCAAGGGAAACCCCAAGAAGGCTCTGAACATAAACCGGAAGTTCCCTAAAAGCGGAGAGATCTTCAAAAGAGTACAATCAGTCTGTTCACAGAACCGGTTTTCTGAATCAGGATTGAGTCTTTACGCAATGCATTTCCCAACCATACCAGCCAAAGTCAAGAAGCTCACTGGTGCAGGCGATTGTCTTGTAGGCGGTACAGTCGCATCGCTAAGCGATGGTTTAGATCTGTTACAGAGTTTAGCAGTTGGCATTGCCTCGGCTAAAGCTGCGGTTGAGTCAGATGACAATGTGCCTACTGAGTTCAAGTTGGATCTTGTTTCTGGTAATGAACTAAATATGTGTCAATATGAATGAGAGTCTTACTTATGGTTTTAAGTTTTGGTTAGCTCACCATATATTTTGGTTGTATCGGGTCTGAGCCGGTTTACACTTTTTGTTTTGGTTTGACCGTACAGATGATGCGGAGTTGGTTTACAATGGCGCCAAGATGTTGTTGGTTCATCATCAGTCCATGCTGTGAAGAAATGATCTTGTTGGTTCACTTGCCAAAAGAGTCCTTTGGCATTTGGGCTTAGTAACTGTTTCTTATGTACACTATATATCAAAGTTTTCTTCTGTTTTTGTGTTCCTCTCTTATTAAGCAAATTAATGTCTGTCTTCACTTTTTTTTGGTTTGGTTTCATTTGTTGTTGTCTATTATATCACCAATTTGATTTTATTATATTCTCGATGATCTTATCATATTCATATTCGACAGACGAAGCTAACTATCCACACAATACATTTGATAACCATGAATAGTCTACTAAGACCATCTCTAAAGTATTCTTCTATTTTTGATTCTAAAATAGAAGAACACTATAATAGAGATGGATTTCTCTCCAATGTATTCTTCTATTATTGATTTTATATTTTTTTATTTTATTAGAAATATTTTTTAATTATAAACATTTACATTTTAACCCCATTTATTTTATGCCTTACAAAATTTACATAAAATCATGATATTATTTAAATTAAATATTTATTATATAAAGAATATTACATTACATCACATAAAAATAACAAAACATATTAAATTTTGATTTAAACATCACAATAAATCTGAAATATATTTGATTTTGATTTTATTAGTCAATGGAAATCAGACACAATAAATATTTTATAAAAGTGATTAGTTAAACTCATGAGAATCAGCATGCCTCTGTATTGAACCTCAAAGCATTATCAGACCATTTTATCAAATATGGACAATCATTTGTAAAAACTATTATTTGTTTAATCATTAATAAAAATTAGAAATGAAAGGACTATTTTATAAATAAAAAAGTTCAACTCCATTATAGAGTAAGAAATAGAGTTCCTCTATATATATAGGAAGAAATAGCATTTCTCTATTTTAGAGGAAAAAATAAAGATGTGTTGGAGAAAATTTTTCTCTAAAATAGAGTATAGAGACAAAAATAGAGGTAGTTTGGAAATGCTCTAACAATTTTACCGTAGATAGTTCTATTTACAACATATGGAAATGGTTCTACACTTCTATTGGAGCTGTTAGGATATGCCATAAGATACAAAGAGATAGCCCAAACATAACGAACCTACTCGAATAATGTATTTGTGTGAAAAATAGTACCAAATTTAATTTGATAGGTAAAGGAGGTAGACAAAACTAAACGAAACACATATGAAAGGAGTTAGAGTTCATACGTACGTAGGTTCAACGAATTAAAGTTAAGAGCCTCAACATAACCGAACCCACTCGTGGGTATATTTGTATAAGATTCCAAAAAAAAGGTAACCCTACGAAAGAGTTCTAAACATTGACTATCGGCATTTTTTTTTTACTAGTTTATGGCTATATTCTTTTCATACTGCATAATACTTTCCATATACGTATAACGTAATTGACTAGGCCAAGGTTTTATGTTGGCGTCAAATAATGAAATTCAACATCAATGAACAGAAATCGTAAAACATGTGATCATTTTTGTACTTATAACTTTAAATGATCAGGAGCTTTGTTCAATTTTTAATAACAAAGTTTTTTTTTTCAAAACATATTATAGCATTATACTAAGAAAATTACAAAAACGAGAGAAGTAATTTCTCTGCCAATTTAAGATCTAAACGGTTTAGGCCTTGTTCGTTTTAGCATCTAGATGCTGCATCTAGATTTAACATCTATTATCTAGATATAATTTGTTTTAAAAAATTATTTTGCATTAAGATGCTGAGTCTAAATTCAAAATTGTTTGTTTATGAATCTAAAAAAATAGTTGGATGTAAAATATATCAAATGAATAAAAAGGATATATTTTGAATAATTATTTTTATTTATAATTAAATTAATTTTATATTAGATTAACTTAAAATTATTTCAAAGTGATATTTTTATCAAATTAAATTTTAAAACTACAGAAAAAATTAATATTGCATTTTTGCAGGAAAACATAATTTCGTAGATTAGCTAGAGATTTTTTCACCTTTTGGCGGGAAATAGGAATTTGTGTTTTTGGCAAATATCAAAATTTTGCATTTTTTATGAAAAATCAAAATTTTGTATTTTTGATGGCAAAACAAAAATATGCGGCAAAACATCATTTCTCAGATATGGCTACAAAACTGGCGATTTTGCAGTTTTGGTGAGAAATAAATTTGTGTTTTCGTTGGAAAACTGAGATTTTGCGTTTTGGTAGAAAAATTCAAATTTAGCGTTTTTAGTGGAAAAACAACATTTTGTGTTTTTAGTGAGAAAAGGAAATTTAACGTTTTTAGCAGGAAATCGAAATTTAGCATTTTTGGCAGAAAATCAAAATTTTGCGTTTTTGGCAGGAAAATGATTTTAGCGTTGTTGACGAGAAACCAAGATTTTGTGGTTTTGACTAGACATCGAAGCTTTTCGTTTTGATGGGAAAATTGAGATTTTTTGTAGATTTGCGAGGAAAACATGATTTATAGTTTTCACGGAAAAAATATAAGATTTTGTGGTTTTGGTCAAAAATCAAGATTTTCTAGCAGAAAAACATGATTTAGCCAAAAACCACAATTATGCGGTTTTAGTGGTCTTTTTGTTTTGGTGAGAAATAATTATTTTGCCAAAAATAATATTTTATAGATAATCATGAATATATTATACGTAAGAGTATTTTAGTCTTTTGGTTTTTGAAATGCTAGATTTGCATTTTTTAGCATCTTAAATATCTAGATTTTTGAGATGTTGTTGATTTTAAATCCAGATACAGCATCCAAATACTGGTTCTAAAGTGTTCAAACGAACAACATTTGAGCATTTGCATCTATGCAACGTTTGGATTCAAAAACGAACATGACCTTAAACTAAACCTTGTTCATTTCAGTTGTTTCACTCCAATTTCTAGAAAAACTGCAAAGGGTCTATAAAAGTCATGGAGTACTGGAAACTTGAAGGAACAAAAAATCGAACATCTTCATCAACTTTTACTACTAACATACTAAAACTCAGAACCAAACCCATCACGATAATCACCACCAAAACCACACTCTCAAACTCCCAACACCTCCTATGTATCTTAGTGATCTTTAGGTACATCACACATGGAAACACTATTGAAGTACAACTACTCATTAGTGCTCCTATAAGTGACATTACATACCCAAAAAACGGCACAACAAGTGCAACCAACATTGTTCCTAAAACCAGCCCGGTTCCAATCAACATCCGGATGCTTCTCCTTTTGTAGTTCGCTTGGATCAGCCTTGTCGTGATCGCTTCCATGATGGGGGAAAGGACTAATGCGTATTTGGTTAGCGGGTACACAACCGTGGTTGTGATTGCTATCACCGTGCTTACCTTACGAGTAGGAAGATTTAAAGTGATTTGTGTGATTGCACTTCTTCTCCATACATTAGATATCCAAAGATTGCCATCAAACCATATATCATTGATGATATGGCAAAGCTTATGAAAAGAATCTATATATACACCCAAAAATAAAACAAAAACCGGTTAGCAATGATAGAAGAAGTTGTTCTATACCAAATTTTTTCAATTGAAAATGTTTTATACAACTCCATGGTAAATTAAGTACATTTTCACATTAAGTACCTTTGGGAATTGGTCTTTGTTCTTCATAGAATTGTAGATGGTTGGGAAGACAGGATGTGCAGTGTAGCAAACAAGATACACACTAATGGCTGTAGGAATCCCTGACCAATTGACCAAAACACCCTTGTTCTTAAACCCGACATTTTCAATAGCGCCGGTCCAAGCTACTAGTATACAAGAAACTAGGATCCCACCAGCCGAAATATACGAGAGAAAATTTTGCTTTTCCAACCACACAGTCTCGGAACAACGATTAAAGAAGCAATAAAGATAAACAAATGCTTCTTGTCAAGTGTGAAACATCCACGGAATCGGATAGTGGCGTGTTGAAACATGTGATACATATTATCGGCTTCCAAAATCAAGATCGCGGTCGCGACTAGGTACCATTCTAAGTATATGAAGAAAGAGACTACTAACCGACCTTTCTTCCCAAATGCTTTGTCCGCTATTTCGGGGTAACTATGGATTAGGGTCGAGTTTGAGGCAACGTTGCAAGAGTAACCCGGTGTACCAAGTTGTTGCTCCAATTAGTAAGAAAAATAGAATGCTAATCCATCCACCGGAGGTAAGTGCGTAAGGAATAGCCAAGATTCCAACACCTTACACATTAATTTGCAAACTATGAATTAGTTTTTCTAACCAATATTAAGAGTGCTATAGTTAATTACATGAAACCATAAATGTTTTGTACCTGACAAAGAATTCAAGGTGTTAAAACAAGCGTGGACGACGGAGGAAATGCCAACATCACCGTCATTTCCGCCGGAATATTCCATCTCGTGGACTATAAACTTTCTATCAAGACAAGTGTTTTGGTTTTGTTTTGCAACTTCCAAGTTCCAAGATGACTTGTGTTGGTGTGTGTACATATATATAGTGGACCGAACGGATAAACCGGGAATTGGTTATTGAACCCGGTTCGGATCTATATCTCATCTTCTTCAAAAAAACACAAGATAATAGAATTGCCACCAAAGCTCCATTTTATCCCCACACAAAAACTCAGCAGAAGACTGAGAGAGATGAGGATGAGATTGAGCTAAAAATTCCCAAATTCGAATATGATAGTAACACTAAACCCTAGGATTCTCTATTTCTCGAAGTTTCATCCACAATCTCCTCTTTCTCGTCCTTCTACATACTTGTGCAGAACACGAAACGTCTCTCTGATTACCAATTGCAAGCTTCAGAATCCTCGAGATGGGAAAACGATTTCGAATAAGAGCAGCGGTGGCGGAAGTATCACGAAGACCATTTCGCTCTCCGATTCAGCGCCGCCGGTTGCGGAAGAGACCGGCGGGGAGATTTCCGGCGATGGGGTTGTTAAGGGAGGCGGTAATGGTGGAGGAGGAGGAGACGGTGGTTTAGGGTTTTTGAAGAGGTTACCGAGAAAGGTTTTGTCCGTTTTGTCTAATTTGCCTCTAGCTATCACAGAAATGTTCACCATTGCTGCTCTCATGGCTCTCGGTAAGTTTCTAGGGTTTGGATTTTTCCTTTTGTAAATTGTTTAACATTGAAAACTGATCAAATTTCGATCTCTTTAGGCACTGTGATTGAACAAGGTGAAACCCCTGATTTCTATTTTCAAAAGTATCCAGAGGACAATCCTGTGCTAGGTTTCTTCACTTGGAGATGGATTTTTACACTTGGGTTGGATCACATGTACTCTGCTCCTATATTTCTTGGGATGTTGGTTCTCTTAGCAGCTTCACTTATGGCATGCACTTATACTACTCAGATACCTCTCGTTAAGGTTGCAAGGAGGTCTGTTTTTTTTCTTCCTTTTGTAGCTCCTTGTTTCTGGTTAACAGCTATTTACTAAGGAATACATGACTTAAAAAAAATTTCAGATGGAGTTTTATGAAGTCAGATGAGGCAATTAAAAAGCAAGACTTTGCAGATACTCTTCAAAGAGCATCTATTCAAGACTTGGGAGTTATTTTGATGGGTGATGGATATGAGGTTAGGCATTAGTTCTTCTCTCTTTTTCAAGTTCTTCTATATGCGTCTGTGAGGTAATTGTTTGATTGTCTTGTTCTAGTAGTAACTTTTGAATTTTGTTTGTTCTGCAGGTATTTATGAAGGGTCCTTCGTTATACGCTTTTAAGGGTTTGGCTGGTCGGTTTGCGCCTATTGGAGTGCATATAGCAATGCTTCTGATTATGTTGGGTGGAACACTTAGTGCAACCGGGAGCTTTAGAGGCTCGGTCACAGTTCCTCAAGGGCTAAATTTTGTCATGGGAGATGTCTTAGGTCCAGTTGGGTTTCTCTCAGTTCCAACAGATGCTTTCAATACGGAAGTTCATGTTAACCGATTTACCATGGACTATTATGATAGTGGAGAGGTGAGTTTCTTTTTGTTCTGCTTTCTCTGCTCTCTGATTATGTCTTGTGACCATTCACAATAATTTAGAACTCTTTGTTTGATTTATTGTAGGTCTCACAGTTTCACTCTGATCTTTCACTACGTGACCTTAATGGGAAAGAGGTTCTGAGAAAGACAATCAGCGTTAATGATCCCCTGAGATACGGTGGGGTCACTATATACCAGACAGATTGGAGTTTCTCGGCTTTGCAGGTGACAAAGGATGGTGAAGGACCATTCAACTTGGCTATGGCACCTATTAAGATCAATGGAGACAAGAAGTTATATGGGACTTTCTTACCAGTTGGTGATACTAATGCTCCCAATGTCAAAGGAATGTAAGAACCCTCTTAACCTCTAAAGAACAACTCTTTACAATTAAGCCAACGAAAGTAGTAGAGATGGAACATTTTCTAGGATTCTTGACGTAGACTCACATTTTTCTACAGATCGATGCTTGCTCGGGATCTACAATCCATTGTTGTGTACGATTTGGAAGGGAAATTTGCGGGAATAAGGAGACCGAACTCGAAGCTTCCCATTGAAATCGATGGTATGAAGATCGTTATTGAGGATGCAATTGGAAGCACTGGTCTTGAGTTAAAGGTAAATAAAAATTTCTTGTCAACGGTACACACAAGAAAAGTAAAGAGATCCTAGTTTTTTTCAGGATAATATAATATGTTTGTTCTTGGTCTGGTTTCTTAGACTGACCCTGGAGTACCAATTGTATACGCTGGTTTTGGTGCTCTAATGCTCACAACCTGCATCAGTTACTTATCTCATTCACAGGTAAAAGTAACTCTTAAAATCGATATGGATCAGAGTCTTGTTTCTATACCAATGTGTCAACTAGATTTTGGTCTTCCACCTCCAGCAACATGTTCATTGTCTAACTCTGTTTTTGTGTAAACTCGACCTCTTATGTTTGTCTGAAACATAATATGAAGATATGGGCATTACAAAACGGAACAACATTGGTGGTCGGGGGAAGAACCAACAGAGCCAAAAACGAATTCCCTGATGATATGAATCGTTTGCTCGATCAAGTTCCTGAGCTAATCAAGAAGACTTCTGTTGCCTCCGAGCTTTCTTGATTGGTTCTTCGAGTCTGATACATTTCAAGACAAAGCCAATAAAGTTGTACAGATCTGTGAAAAAAAAAAGGTATAGGTTTCAAGAACGCACTTGGGAGCGCATTCTACATGTTGCTGATCATTTGGGAAGAGAGAGGAGCTATAGAAATTGAGACTTCGGAATTGATTTGCATTGTATATTTTATTTGAAGGGTCTGAGTTTCTACACCTTGAAGTTAGAATATATAGGGTGAATACTTTTTTTTGTGGGTAGGTTTTCTTGTTTGTCTAGTTATATGATCTGTATGTATGATCTAGCTACAATTCCGCATCTTTTTGTCGCACTATAGTTTTTTTTATAAATTATTGTCAATATTTTTGAATAGCCTCTCGGGTAATATAAATTCTATAATCAATCTTTTGTTTACATTTTATAATCAATTGACCAATAATATGGAGATTAAACACTTGCCTTCGACTACTTTGAGAAATTTGCTAGAGAATTAGATCAGCAACAACACAGATTGCAGTAAAAACTTCAGAGACAGTAGCAATCACAACATCTTCTAATGGATCAACAAGTATTTTATTATCCTCAAGAACCATCAATTTACGACATTCCTTCTGCCAATCTGAGGCTACGATCAATCTTGATCCTGATGAAGTAGCTAATAACCAAATTTCTTACACACTTCAAATTCTATGGCTTCTTCTCTCATTGTCTTCTCTTATCTTATCTTGTTTTTTTTCGCTCTCTAATTAATGGATCGACTAACAACAATAGCTCAGATCTCATATTTGATCGCTGACGGGAAAGCTGAGCAACAAAAGAAATTCGAGAAAACACTAAAACAGGTAGTCCAAATGAGCTTTTCTTGTTTTATTTTTGTCAGTTCTTTACCTTAGAAACATATGAAATTAACAGAGCTGACAATAAAGTATCGTTTTAATAAACTGGACTCTCTATGTTTGATGTTTATTTGTTTTGGAATGAATTTCAAAGATCATCTTCTTACTTACTCTCTGTAGATAATACGAACCTGATATACGTATTTTTTTGGTATTTGTGTGAGCAATAAGAAAAAAAACACAGTTTTTTGAATAAGTTTCATGATAAATAGATCCAGTTAAGAAGACAAAATTACCAAATAATTTGAAATATTAGCCAATTGAGATTCAGCAACGAAAGTCTACAAACAAAAATGAGATTCTAAATAAAGTGTATATGTCGCTAAAGTCCCACATCGGAAGAAATGATTTTTCTCTTGTTGTATATATAAGTTTAGTTGACAACTACTGTGCGTCGAGTTCAGTAACGCGGGCTTGTGATCCAAGTGGAGACTACAAGGTGTTGGAATGTTGGACCGATTTCATTGGGCCGGGTTCGATTTGGGCTTTCTACTCGCCTGCCCATTCCAAGCTGAGAGTTGAAGGTTCGGACCTAAGCGAAGGCTTGTGGTTCAGACTTTCTTAGAGCGGAGGAGACTGCGTGAGGCTGGTTTCACAGAGCAGCGTCCACCTCCCGCTCTTGGTAGTATCCTTAGGATAACGGGCCGGTGCCTTCCGAGCCCACTATGACCCAATAAGCCGATCTCAATTAAACCATTTCATAGAGCGGAGGAGACTGCGTGAGTCTAGTTTCACAGAGCAGCGTCCACCTCCCGGTGCCTTCCGAGCCCACTATGACCCAATAAGCCGATCTCAATTAAACCATTTCTTAGAGCAGAGGAGACTGCGTGAGGCTGGTTTCACAGAGCAGCGTCCACCTCCCGCCACCTCCCGCTTTTGGTAGAGTATCCTTAGGATAACGGGCCGGTGCCTTCCGAGCCCACTATGACCCAATAAGTCGATCTCAATTAAACCATTTCTTAGAGCAGAGGAGACTGCGTGAGGCTGGTTTCACAGAGCAGCGTCCACCTCCCGGTGCCTTCCGAGCCCACTATGACCCAATAAGCCGATCTCAATTAAACCATTTCTTAGAGCAGAGGAGACTGCGTGAGGCTGGTTTCACAGAGCAGCGTCCACCTCCCGGTGCCTTCCGAGCCCACTATGACCCAATAAGCCGATCTCAATTAAACCATCACTTTTTTAGGTTTTTTTTTAACATTGTTCATCGTTTGCTGATGAATGATGACATGAATCGTTTGCTGGATCAAAGTTCCCGAGCTAATCAAGACTTTTTTTTTATTAAGCTATTCGAGTATGATACATTTCAAGACAGAACCTATTAATAAAGCTATTCGAGTATGACCCAATAAGCCGATCTCAATTAAACCATCACTTTTTTAGGTTTTTTTTTAACATTGTTCATCGTTTGCTGATGATGATGACATGAATCGTTTGCTGGATCAAAGTTCCCGAGCTAATCAAGACTTTTTTTTTATTAAGCTATTCGAGTATGATACATTTCAAGACAGAACCTATTAATAAAGTACAGAATTATGTAGAAAAAGGTTTAGTTTTCAAGAACGCGTGCACTTGAGAGCAGATTCTACATGTTGCTGATCGTATGGAAACAACAGAGATGAGCTAAGAGAAACTGAAACTTCAGAATTGATTTGCATGTAGTCTTTATTTGAAGTGCCTTGAGTTTCTACACCGTAAGTTAGAATATAGAGAATATACAGGGTGAATACTACTATTTTTGTTTTTTTTTTTTTTCTTTTTGGTGGTTAGGCTTTCTTGTTTGTCAAGTTATATGATTGTATGTATCCGTACGTTCCGCCTCTGTGGTGTACGTGTGCTGGAAGCGCTTCATATGGGTTATCCCAACTCCCTCGAGAAGGTCCAGACAGGGGCACATCCTTGATAGTTTTTGCTGGAGGAGCTCCTGGTGGGTTATCTGAACTCCTTGGAGAAGGTCCACACCGGTACAGGGCCTTGGTTTGGTTTGGAGGGGTTGCATCAACCATCAAGGATACTAGCGAAGACGAGACTATACAATATCACAAGAATTAAAGCGAGTTTTACCATTGCTAACTACAATAGTTTGAAAACTACAAGATTTTGTTGATCTGGGTTTAGGGTTTATATATTGTAGAATCTCCCATCCTTTGTTTAACTAGGAATAGTAGTTTGGAAGTTCTAACAATCAGAGAAATTAAGGTCATAGTCACACACTCACACCTACTGTTCAAAGACAAACACAGACCAAATATTTGAAGTCTTTCGGATAAGAATGGTGTTATTGTCATTATCACTAATTATCTTTTTTGGGTGCAGAGATTATGTGAAAAAAACGTTAACTAGTGATAATGTTCTCTGCACCCAAAAAGTTAATTAGGTGAAAAAAACAAAAAAACAAAAAATTGAGCTTTGAATCAAAAGTTTTGAGTTTTGTTGAATGCTTAGAGATCTTTAACGGATTTGTATTTGGACTTTCTCCTGTCTCTAAAAAAATATCATGGAAATGAATATGTGGCTCATAATCTAGGCATAATCGTTTGTAAAATACATTGAAAATTTGATAAATGCTTGGCGGATTTTGAAACATAATGTTCATTCTTTTATTTAAATTATCCATCAGATCTCAAATAACAAATCTTTAAGACGTAGATAATGTGATACGTTTATTCAAACATTAGAAGAAGAAGAATCCGCATGACGAAATTGATCATTGCATTCAAACGGATCTAGGCGGCCGGCTAGGTCCCGAAGGCGGGATTGGAACGCCTTTTGGTAACATTTTGAAAATGAGACGTTGTGATGGTGACCATGGTTTTAGGCCGACCATGGTTGGTGGTGGATCAACCGGTCCTCTAGCCAATTTTCTAGGCCAGACTAAACCGCTTGTCTCATCTTGAAAGTTCTTATCTGTAGCTTAAATGACACAAGCAAAGAGGAGACCAAACGAAATGACCACAAGAACTAAATTTGATTTCTTCATCACAATATTACTTTTCAAAATTGCAATATCAGTTGGTATGATTGAGAGAGCTTTATATAAATTTATGGAAATCCTTTATGGAAATAAATTAATGAAATTAAATTTGGATATCCATATAAATTATTCAGATATTTAACCTTAGTCAGCGTAGCTTCCATGGAAATAGATCATGAGAAATGATTTAACATATCCCATGAATTTATTATTTCCATGAAAACAATTTCAAAACCAGTGATTGAACAGCTTCTCGTTAGTAGTATTTAACGTTTTTGGCAAGATTATTTATTTTGACATTAACCAATCAATTAAATTATAAAATATTAATATGTATTAAAGAAACAGAAAAATTGATTTATCCTAAAATTCAAAGTTAATAAAAAGGTGTAAAAAAATTACAAGCAAATATATGCAGAACTGTATATATGAACAAATCTCTAACTGTTAGACTCTTTTAATAGGTAAGAAGGATGGCAAAATATTTTTCTTGTTTGGGTCAAAGATCGGATCTTGTTATTTTGCTAATAGCCGTTTACTATTGCTCTCTAGTTCATTCACTCAAAAATATATACTAATATACATGGTATTATTTTGTTTTGGTTTCAACTTTCAATACATACAAATTGTGGGTGAATGAGGTGGATAATGGTAACGAGCCTCTTCGTGTATTGGCACTTTCAAAACAATAAATAAACGTTGAACAGAAACGAAAGATTACTTCCTATATGTTTTCATTATTTTTAGAAAATTAAGATTTACGCGATGGTCTAAAAAAGAGTGAAAATTTGACTTTCTTTTATAGTATAGATGAGATGGTTAATTTAGTTTTTGAGAATCAAAAAGCAAAAACTTACGTAAAAACTAAAAAGACAACAACTACAGTATTTGAGTTTTTGAAGGTTTTATTATATGAAGACAACAAAAAAAAAAAGAATGTTTTATTATATAGGTTCTGTTTGTTTGCTCATTTGGATGGATCATCCAGATGAATCAGATGTTTGTTTAATTACATAAATTGACTCATCTAGATGATACATCTAGATGGATCATTTGGATGACATATAAATTTATGAAAAAATTTGAAACTCATCCAACTGATTCAATTTGAAACATTTGGATGAACATGACTCAGTAAAAAAATCGCATTTTCTCGATAAAACATGTAAAATCTCGTTTTTTCATCAAAAACGTAAAATCTTGTTTTCCCGTAAAAAACGTACAATTTCGTTTTACCGTAAAAAACGTAAAATCTCGTATTCCCGTCAAAAACATAAAATTTCGTTTTCCCATCATAAACGTAAAATCTCGTTTTACTGTAAAAAAACATAAAATCTCGTTTTTTTGTCAAAAACCTAAAATTTTGTTCTCCCGTCAAAAAACGTAAAATCTCGTTTCCTCGTCAAAAACATAAAATTAAATTTTGTTTCCCCGTCAAAAAACGTAAAATCTCATTTTTTCGTTAAAAACATAAAATCTCGTTTTTCCGTTAAAAACGTAAAATCTCGTTTTAACGTTAAAAACGTAAAATCTCACTTTCCGTCAAAAACGTAAAATTTCGTTTTCCCATCAAAAACGTAAAATATCGTTTTCCGTTAAAAACTTAAAATCTCGTTTTTCCGTTAAAAACATAAAATCTCGTTTTTCTGTCACAAATCATAAAATCTTGTTTTCCCGTTAAAAACGTAAAATCTCGTTTTCCCATTAAAAACGTAAATTTTTCGTTTTCCCGTTAAAAACATAAAATCTCGTTTTTCCGTTAAAAACGTAAAATTTTGTTTTCTCGTTAAAAACGTAAAATCTCGTTTTCTGGTAAAAAATATAAAATCTTGTTTTCCCGTTAAAAAACATAAAACCTCGTTTTCCCGTTAAAAACGTAAAATCTTGTTTTTCCATTAAAAACGTATAATTTTGATTTCCCTTCAAAAACGAATTTTGTTTTCCCTTCAAAACGTAAAATCATATTTTTTGTCAAAAACGTAAAATTTCGTTTTTTCTCTGTCAAAAAGCGTAAAATTTTGTTTTTCCGTAAAAACGTAAAATCTCATTTTCTTGCCAAAAACGTAAAATCTCATTTTCATTGCTCATTTGTCAATTTCTCATTTAAATGTTTGTTTGCTCATTTGTTATGTGTATCACTCTCAGATGACTCATCCAAATGGATCATTTAAATGGATTATCTAGATGCAAATGACAAATGAGCAAACAAACAAGGCCAAGGTCATATGTCTAACATTCTAATTTGTGACTTGACTGAGGTTTTTGGTTGCTGGCATTGCTTATATTCACGTTATTTTATTGCACAAGTATGCCAAGTAGTTACGTAGGAGTGAAAAGGGTCTGGTAACACGGCTAAGATTTTCAATGGGTCTGGTAAGTAGTCATATTCTAGACAGATATAATCTGCATCTTATGATTCATTTTTCTTCAAGCACCCAGTTTAGCTCTGCTCTTGTGCTATAACCGTAATTAACTGCAGACAATGAGGTGCTTACTATAATCAAAATTGTGACCCACCGAGAGACTTCAACGAAATGATAAAAGATTGTAAGTTGGATCCTTGCATTAAAAAAAAAAAAACAGTACACACTTAAAAAAGCGTACAAAGACGAATACTAAAAGCATAAAACTACATAAAAGTAATCCATCTGATTCAAATCTCTTATATTAGCGGCGACCGGAGAGACGGAGGAACCGCCAAATCCGATGAACAGATAAACGCCTACGCATTGCAGATCTCTTCTTCTTAGAAGCTTTTTCCTTCACACCAATACTTGCCCTTGAGACTAAAACGTCCTGTAGCCTCATCATATAGGCGCCTAAAAATGGCTTTGCAATCACAAGCCTTGTTCAAGTCTTTATAGACTATGTACACAACAGCAGTTTTGGAGTCGATGAGGGGAGGCTGAAAACCATCGGGAGATTCTACTGCAACTTGCACAATCTTCAAGTTAAACTTGGAAAGATGGCACTGCAGCAATAAGAGTTACGTGTCAATACCATATATATATATATATATATATATATATATAGCAAACCAAAAAAAACTAATGAAAGGAAAACAAACAAAAAACACTTACATCAGTAATACCCCTATCGTAAGCACAATATGCAAGCTCCAAATACAAATTGATCCAGTCATAGTATGACACATGAGATAAATCCACCTGCAAAGAGTCAAACAAAACATATCGCAAAACCGATGCAAATGTCCTTAATATATAATACGTAGACATGTGTCCAGTCTTAATATAATAATAATCTTCTTAAGAAGTAGAAACGATGATTGCATGCAACCACACAAACACAAGTCTAGTCTTAATACAATAATAATTTTCATAAGAAGTAAAAACCGATTTGTATCTGATCGATGCATCCAACCACAAGTTTTAATATAATAATAATTTGATAGTTCTAAATCTTACCAAGCAGAAACGGTTTGGATCATTGAAAGACGATGGCCAATGGGGCAGCCTAGTAGACACTTGGAAAGGCACCTTCTCATCAGTTGTTGAAGAACACGAGTTAGTCACTGTAAAAAAAAAAAATTAAAAAAATTCTATAAATAAACTTTGTGACAATGTGTAAATTAAAATTGAATAAAGATTCACATCGACTTTACCTCGAGGTCTAGCAATAGAGCAAGTAAGATCTAAAACCCCAAGATCCTTTTCACTAACTTGCACATTTTGTCGCAAATCACTAGATTGAAGGTATGCAGCCAAGGTGATGTAATAAGGGGCAGCACCACAGTTCATTCTCGTGTTGAAACTCTTTAGCTTAGAGAACTTCCAGTTGGTCCCCTAAAAGAAACGAATTAAAGAGATTGAGAATGGAACCCCTAAAAGAAACGAAACGAATTAAAAGAGATTGAGAATGGAATGTATAATGTAAACTCAAAAACAAGAATTTTACCTCCAACAAATTGTATCTGTGAATCCCCATCTTAGCATAGAGCTTGACCAAAGTAGGATTAGGATAAATTGAATACTTGGGTTCACAGTCATAGTGTATGAGCCCATGGGTAATATATCTTACTGGAACACCCTCGGGGTAGTCAAACCCCTAAGACACATTAAAAAAAAATTCACTTCAGGTTTGCCATGTCCAGCAAAAAGAAAATCAAATCAAATCATGGATGAAATTTGAACTACAGTAAAAACTCTATAAATTAATAATGTTGGGACTTTGATATTTTATTAATTTATAGAGTTATTAATTTATAGATTTTAAATAAAAATATTTTTTATTAATTTTAAATTCTGAAAGAGATTTTCTTTGAAGTTTATAATATTTAAAAAATTCTTTCAAAAATTAAAAAAGAGTTCTAAGAAGATTTCAATTTAAAATAATTAAAAAACATCACTAAACTCATATTTTGGTAGATTATCTCACTTATATGTTTATATCAAATTTTATTTATGATAATTATTAATTTATGATAATAATGGGACTGTTGTGAAAACTTAGAAACTTTATTAATCACTGGAATGTATATATAGAGTACATAGGGAATCTAGGTTAAGTACAATGCCCTGATGGGCCTAATGGGCCGGTATAAGAGTCCATATATGATATGTGTTATAACACTCCCCCTTGGACTAGTGAACCGGGTCAGCTACTCAATCGGGATCTCGATAATGTGCTGGGGAATGTTGCCTCATTAAAACCTTACCAGGAAAAACCCAGTGGGACAAAACCATGGTGAAGGAAAAAGAGTACAACACGCATTACTCCCCCTGATTGTAGCATCACTGCAGATCTCTAAGTCTATACATTCCTATCTGTTTGACGAGCTTCCGGTGTGTTGAAGTAGGCAATGATTTGGTGAAGAGGTCAGCTGAATTCTCACTGGATCGGACCTGCTGAACGCTGAGAGTGTCGTCCTTCTGCCAGTCTGAGGTTGAGAAGAACTTCGGTAGAATGTGCTTCGTCCGATCTCCTTTGATATATCCTTCCTTGAGCTGAGCTATGCATGCCGCGTTGTCTTCATACATCACCGTGGGCTGTGTGTCTTCGTCCATACCACAATCTCTGCGGATGTGCTGAGTCATGGAGCGCAGCCAGACGCATTCCCTACTAGCCTCATGAATGGCTAGGATTTCAGCATGGTTTGATGAAGTGGCAGTGAGTGTCTGCTTCATTGATCTCCAAGAGATGGCTGTTCCTCCATGCGTAAAAACGTAGCCAGTTTGAGACTTGGCAGTGTGCGGATCTGATAGATATCCTGCATCGGCGAAGCCGACTAACCCATCTTTATTTTGGTTAGTATAGAAGAGTCCTAAGTCTTGAGTACCTCGAAGGTATCTTAGGAGATGTTTTATACCGTTCCAGTGCCTCTGAGTTGGAGATGAACTATATCGAGCGAGGAGGTTCACGGCGAAACATATGTCTGGTCTAGTGTGACTAGCCAGGTACATTAACGCTCCTACAGCACTGAGGTATGGCTTTTCAGGACCAAGGATTTCTTCATCATCCTTTTTGGGACCAAGAGGGTCATCACTTAAGCTTCTAACTACCATTGGGCTGGTCAATGGGTGAGCTTGGTCCATATTAAATCGCTTGAGTACCTTTTCGATATAAGCCGATTGATGCACAAGGATTCCTCCTTTGATGTACTCAAGTTGTAATCCCAAACAGTACTTTGTTTTGCCTAGGTCTTTCATTTCGAATTCTGCTTTTAAGCAGTCGACTGTTTGGGAGATCTCACCAGATGTTCCGAGGATGTTTAGATCATCCACGTATACTGCTATGATTACAAATCCTTTGTTTGAGTACTTCTTGATGAAGATGCATGGACTGATGGGGTCATTTTTGTAGCCTTCTTTGATGAGGTAATCGCTGAGGCGGTTGTACCACATACGCCCACTTTGTTTCAGTCCATACAAGGATTTGTTCAGCCTGATGCAGTATTGATCTCGAGATGCATTTTTGTCTTTTAGTTCAATGCCATCTGGGAGTCTCATATATATTTCGTTGTCCAGGGGCCCATAGAGATATGCGGTTACATGCATGGACTGATGGGGTCATTTTTGTAGCCTTCTTTGATGAGGTAATCGCTGAGGCGGTTGTACCACATACGCCCACTTTGTTTCAGTCCATACAAGGATTTGTTCAGCCTGATGCAGTATTGATCTCGAGATGCATTTTTGTCTTTTAGTTCAATGCCATCTGGGAGTCTCATATATATTTCGTTGTCCAGGGGCCCATAGAGATATGCGGTTACAACATCCATTAACCGCAGATCAAGATTTTCTCTTATGGCCAGACTTATGAGGAATCGGAATGTTGTTGCATCCACCACTGGAGAATAAGTCTCCTCATAATCGATTCCGGGTCTCTGTGAGAATCCTTGTGCTACAAGCCGTGCTTTGTATCGAACGACTTCTCCGAGTTCGTTCCTTTTGCGCACAAAGACCCATTTGTGGCCCACTGGCTTGATGTGTGATGGGGTCCGGATGATCGGACCGAACACGTTTCTGAGTTTGAGACTCTTTAACTCCACGTTTATGGCTTCTTTCCATTTTAGCCAATCTGTTCGATGTGTACACTGTGTTATTGACGTGGGTTCTAGATCCTCTTGCGTGAGCGCAACATCAAGTGCTACTTTGTATGCAAAGAGTGCATTTAAGTCGACTTCTTTTCGATTCCATTGTATTCCGGACATATTGTAATTGATGGAGATCTCATTGTTATCTTCTGAACCTGGAGATTCGGCGTCCCGAACTTCCATTGAGGGTTCATTAGATTGAGTCTCAGCCGCGGCTATGTCTGATATTGCAGGAATCCCGGTTTCGGTTATTGCACCTTTCTTTGATTTCCGGGGATTCTTATCTTTGGAACCGAGAGGTCTGCCCCGTTTGAGACGTGGTGCAGACTCTGTAGCAACTTGGGTCTGTCCCGTTGGGACAGCTATTCGTACTAGTGCATTACAAGCTGGGATGTACGATTTGGTTACTTTGGTCGGGTCAGCAAAGGAATCTGGCAATTGATTAGCTAGCTTTTGATAATGAATAATCTTTTGGATCTCTGAATCACATTCTAGAGTCCGAGGATCTTGCCAATTTAATGATGTTTGATTCCATGAAAGATCTTTGACCAGCTTCTTTGTCTCACCACCTAAAGAGGGATATACCGATTCATCGAATTGGCAATCCGCATATCTGGCCTTGAAGAGATCTCCAGTGGTTGGCTCGAGATATCTTATGATGGTGGGAGAGTCAAAACCAACATATATTCCCATCCTTCTTTGAGGTCCCATTTTGGTTCGATGTGGTGGAGCAATGGGTACATATACTGAACACCCAAATGTTTTGAGATGGGAGATGTCTGGCTCATGACCCGAGAGTAGTTGGGATGGGGAATATTTGTGTTCACTAGATGGCCGGATGCGTATGAGTTCAGCAGCATGTAATACTGCATGTCCCCATGCTGAGGCCGGGAGCTTTGATCTCATGAGTAATGGTCGGGCTATCCATTGAATGCGTTTAATGAATGATTCAGCCAATCCATTTTGAGTATGGACATGTGGTACAGGATGTTCCACGGTTACCCCCATGGCCATACAGTAGTCATTAAACGCTTGTGAGGTAAATTCACCAGCATTGTCAAGGCGGATAGTCTTTAGTGGGAAGTCAGGGAAATGGGCCCGCAATTTTATGATTTGGGCCAAGAACCTAGCGAAGGCTTGGTTCCGAGAGGACAAGAGACAAACATATGACCAACGGGTCGATGCGTCTATAAGGACCATGAAGTACCGGAATGGTCCGGAAGATGGATGTATAGGTCCACAGATATCGCCCTGGATTCTTTCTAGGAAATGAAGTGTTTGTTTAGAGATTTTAACTGGTGAAGGCCGAGTGATCAATTTGCCTTGAGAACAAGCTGTGCACATGAGGTGTTGAGGATAAGCTCGGTTTTCTTTGAGGGTATGCCCTTGAGAGTTTTGAATTAGTTTACGCATCATATTTGCACCGGGATGACCGAGCCGGTCGTGCCAAATAGTATAATCAGTAAACCGGGCTTTGAGAGTGGTATTAGCTTCAATCATACTGACTTTAGCATGGTAAAGTCCAGTAGAGCGCGGGTATGGTTTCGAGGATTTGTTTATGGCCGTCTACGGTTTTAGTGACTAGGAGGGATTCTTTGTTCCCTTGACCTTGGGTTTCTATGTGGAAACCATTATGTCTTATATCCTTGAAGCTCAGAAGATTTCTCTTCGAACTAGGAGAATATAGAGCATCTGGTATTTCAAGTTGTGTGCCATTTGATAGCAATACATAGGCATGGCCATATCCTTCGATAAGGTTTGAGGGATCCGCGATGGTGCTAATATTTGCGGTTTGATAGGTTAGGTTTATGAAGTAACTTTTGTTTCTTAAGATAGTGTGGCTGGATCCACTATCTACGACTATGGTTTCCATTTGTTGGTGTGCTTTTCCACTTTTGGATTTCTGACAGGCTAATGAAACTGGGAGCTAATAGACCTCAGTTAGCCGCTACAAATTCCAAGGATTGATCACCAAAACTGGAGAAGCTGCTGGTTGAAGAAGGAAAAACTCGGATCTGGTTTTTTTTTCGGTTGATCGTCGTGTACTGTAAGTGTGCGTGAGGGTGCGTCCGACGTTGGATCGACAAACGGTTTTCACCAGTAGATTCGTCTCGTCGAGGGCTTCGATTTGATATGTAGATCGTCTTCTGGTTCCTCACGGTTTGGAAGATATGCGTCTTTTAAGTTTCGACTTGCTTTTAGGGTTTTGGTGGTGGCCGGATTTATTAGGATTTTTCGCTCAGAGAGTCTTATCGTGCTGATAACGTGTTGTGAAAACTTAGAAACTTTATTAATCACTGGAATGTATATATAGAGTACATAGGGAATCTAGGTTAAGTACAATGCCCTGATGGGCCTAATGGGCCGGTATAAGAGTCCATATATGATATGTGTTATAACAGGGACCATATATTTACATAGGAGTTTTGTTAAAAATTATTATCTTATTATCTTATCGAATTATGTCATATTTTAAATTGGCCCAACTTAGGACCATAAAAAATTATTAATTTATAGTGTTTATTAATTTATCAAGTATTAATTTATAGAGTTTCTACTGTAACTTACATCTGATTCTTCCATTACTATATCCCCCTAGACGAATTCTCTTCTCCTCCACCCTCTGAATAATCAAAATCCTGAAGACACATTCAAAAAAAAAAAATCACTTCAAGTTCGCGATGTCCAACAAAAAGAAAATCAAATCAAATCATGGATGAAAATTGAACTAAATTACATCGGATCCTTCCATTATTCGATCCCTCCTAGACGAATCTATCGCTTGTAAGTAAAGTAAACTCTGAGGATTAATAAGAATAACTCTCTTATTAGCTTAAGGAAACTGACTCAAAACCTTAAATGTTTAATCTCTCACAATTCATAAGCTATGTTACAACTTGACATCTTCTTATATAGGGAGATCTTTCCTAATCCTTTTAGGAATAGTTCCATATTAGATATGTACAGTAAAACCTCTATAAATTAATACTCGATAAATTAATAATCACTATAAATTAATAAATTTTGCTGGTCCCAAATCGGGCCAATGTAAAAATCCATCAAATTCGATAAGATAATAAGATAATAATTTTTTTTGAAACCCTTATGTAAATTTATGGTCCCAACAAAAACATAAATTAATAATGATATAAATTTATGCAAATATATATAAATACAATATTCTAAAATATGACTAATGTGTTTGTTTTTACTTAAAATTGAAATCTCATTGGTTCTTATCTCTCTAGTTATTATATCAGTAGTTTTTATTGCTCTTTTACTATATACATTCAACATTTATGATGATTTTTTGACGTGATAATTGATTTTCTTACTTTTAAATGTTTTTAAATGTATTGTAGTGTTATCTTCAATTTTATCATCAGTAATATTGATAGCAGCCATGATTTTTTTATAAATTTTAAACTTATGAACATGTATATTTTTACATGGACAATCCAATATGGTGTTAAAAACTATTTTATTGTGATAGTTATGATTCTTAATCATAATTTATATCATGAGATTTGTTAAAATTTTAAAATATAACATTAATACAACGAAATTTTTAGAAAATTATATGCGGAAATTTTCTCTATAAATTAATAATTAATAATTTATAGATAAATTAATATCACGATAAATTAATAAATTATCATGGTCTCAATATTATTAATTTATAGAGGTTTTACTGTATATTTAGGAATTATCTCTAAGTTATTTCAAGTTTGTTATTTCAAAATCCTGAAGACACATTAAAAAAAAAAAAAATACGGCACACACAGCGTCTCCCCAGACGCAAGTCACCTAAAGAAACTGATGATCTGTGTGATTATATCCTCAATTAGCCTTTTAATAAAATACCTATCTCTCTCTATATATATCTAAATTTAGTTTGTTGAGTTGGGCTATAATTCAGGGAAAATGGATTAAAAAGGCCCATCATAATAAACTCGAAAGAGCCCAGAAAAACCCTAGTTACTCATCGAAACATTACACCACTGTTCTTCTCTTCGATCTCGGATTCTCTCAAGACGAAGGATTTTTTTTGTTCATTCTCTCGGTTGATTTTCTCGTGTTCTGCTAGTAAATTTCTCTCATTCGTATTTTTTTTTTCCTGAATTTCGCTCACCGGAAAAGAAAAAACAAAAAAAATGAAGCCAGTAATAGGCACAGTGGTATCGAACAAGATGCAGAAATCTGTAGTCGTCGCCGTCGACAGACTCTTCCACAATAAGCTCTACAATCGCTACGTCAAGCGCACTTCCAAGTTCATGGCTCACGACGAGAAAGACTCTTGTAACATCGGCGATCGAGTAATTCAATTGTTTACCTTCTTCCCTATCACTCGAATTTTGTTTGCTCGTGAAAGTCGGGAGATTTTGTGATCTTGTTTTCATCTACATTTTGGTTGATCTCTCAACTAGTGGAAGAAAAAGTAGACATTATGATTCTTTAGATTAGAGCAAGAAAATTCAAAAGTGAGAGCTTTGGTTTGGTTATCGTGCAGGTGAAATTAGATCCATCAAGGCCTTTGAGCAAGCATAAGCATTGGGTTGTTGCAGAGATCATCAAGAAAGCTCGAATCTATTCTCCTCAAGCAGCCGCTGCTGCTGTTGCTGCTGCTGCAACCAGTTCCTCAGCCTCCATTGCTGACTCTACTGCCCAGTCTCAGATTCCTCCATCTTCCACTTCTTAAGGTGATTGATTTAGTCCTTTGGTATTGTATTTTTAACTGTTTCAAGCATCTGCTACTGAATCTTGCTTACCAAATTTAGGCCTTTAGTCATTTGGTATTGCATTTAACTGTTTCAAGCCTCTGCTACTGAATTTGGCTTCAATATTAGTCCTTTAGTCCTTTGGTATTGCATTTAACTGTTTCAAGCCTCTGCTACTGAATTTTTCTTACCAAGATTAGTCCTTTGGTATTGCATTTAACTGTTTCAAGCCTCTGCTACTGAATCTTGCTTACCAAGACTATGTAATCTGGAACTTTAGTGTGAACTGACTTGGATGCACGTTTTCACTTTGTCTTTATTTTTCTCGTATAAGCCATTTGCAGTTTATGGATGTTAGTGGGTCCTAAGATTAAAAGCATTGTTGTATGAAAAATATGCATCTTATTGTCAGATTCTTGAAAATTTTAACACTTTTAACACTATGGAATCGAAATGTTAGTACATTGTTTGTCTTCCCGTTTGGATTTAGACTCTGGTTATTATGGGTCGCTCTCTTTCAAACCTTACTGGGTATTTTAGGTTTTGCCTTACCGTGATCATTGGTCCCTTTGCTGCAGTTTTGCTAGGAAGGGAAATGTGTCTCTAGAATACACACTGGATTTCATGAGCTCCAAAGGAGACGGCACAAGGCGTTGTACTGATCAATATATTCCATCAAAGTGTATTGCTTTTGGGTGATGTCTGTGTTATTTGGTTTCCTGAGATGATTATGATAATTTAGTCAAAGTTAATGAATAACACTGTTAGTAAACTTTGGGTTAGTGAGCTTTGAATGTGTCATGTGTCATTTTGGCAAGTCTGTGCATTGCAATTTGAGGCATGGAACAATGAGTAAAATCTCATGTAAAACTTCTTTGGCTCGACAAATGACACCATTACGATACAAAGTAAAGATCACTACCAAAACTCCGTATGGCCATTCAACTGCAAGTTGCAACATCAGTTTTTCACTGTCATATAAAGTGTTCAATAAAAGAGTTTTGATGTAATGATATCTGTCAAGTAACAAAGATCAGTTTCTATAAACATTTTGTGTTTAGCTATCTATTTGTATTTTGTTTGTTTGTCATCTAATCTATTTAGATCAGAGAGAAGGAAGTAACCAGAGATTGAATAGAGAAGAAGAAAGAGACAAGAACCAAGTCAAGAAAGCTAATGTGGCTGCAAATTGATATCTGTTACAGATTGTTGGAGGGCAAACGGATTCGTCTGATCGCAGGATATCTACAACACTAGCTGTTGATGAAGCTGAAGCCAACGCTAAAACAGACATCACCTGCAAAACAAAAATTGGTTGAATTCAGATAGTAATCTCGGTGTTTTTATTAGTAAGCATATTAGATACGTTAATTGCCTTACCCAATCACCAATTGAGATGGCGAGAAGGATTCGTGGCTTTTGAAATGGTTGTTTGAGAAGAACACAATACATATCTACCATTGCCAATGTCAGATTCCACGGTATAGCTAAAGACATGATCGTCACCAAGTAGCTGCAGAATTGTTCATAAGATTAATTAGGGTTCATAAGAGAATATACAGAATCTCGAATTAGGAGTTATTATCACCAGAAAGCAGTGAATTGGTAGAAGCGAACACCAATGGTCATGAAGAGTAGAGCCCCAAATGCTAACACCGTTTGACCTAATCTCAAGGAAAGGCTTGCACTTGTGCCGACAGAGCCAGGAACCTCCACCATCACCAGCTTATCTTGTGTCGCACGTAACTGAAAAGAGCTTGCTTAATCTAAAACTCGAAAAAAGATTGAAACTTTTGACATGTGTCTGGGCAAATCTTCTGGATTTTTTCAATTAAATGATCAGGGTTTTCGTTGTTAATCTTTTCTGGTGGAATCAAAGATACGATAATCATGATCATGACGAAGAAGAGAAAAAAAAGGAGAATTAAAAAGAAAGACAGGTTGATAAGAGTTTCTGGTTCGCACGTTGTGTGTGAGAGTTTACGAATGGTGGAAAAGAGAAGACTGTTCATGAAGAAAGAGTTGTGGTCTGTATTCATCAGACAAAGCAGAGCAAATGTCGGGGCAAACAGTTATGCAACACTATTATTCCTTCCTTCTCCATTTCCTCCTAATACCTCTCCCCTTTATTTATTGTTTCTTCTTGATATTTTTGTCCATTAATACAAAAAGTCGATTGCTTTTGTAAAATGACAAAAGATGTTAGAAATATCCGGATTTTTACTAGTTTCATTAAGGGAAAAAGGTGACAATTAAAACGCTATTAAACAAAAAGTTGGATCTGAGAAAAATGCAGCATCAAATAAGTAGATTTTGCAGAATTCAACAGAATTTGATAAAGCAAATTGTTTCTAGAGATGGTCTAAGGTGATTTTTAACGACAGTACTTTGATAAAGCAAATTGTTTCTAGAGATGGCCTAAGGTGATTAATAACGACAATAGTTACTCTTAATACTCTTTCCAATAAATCAGAAGAAAATGGAGGAGAACAAAGTATAGCCAGAGAACATAAAACAAAACAAATAGCAAAAGTACATCGCTATAACTTTATGTCTCACAATGTGGTTGCTACAGGTCCTAAGAAGATCGTTAAAAACAGAACAAAAGGCCTTCCATTGTCCCAAGCTGCATCTACTTCACCGCTTCAGCACTGCACGAATATGAAAGAAGATGACGAATCCATAACATAGAGATCACACACAATTTTATAACCTTTCAATACACATTTCTCTACTTAATTTGTCCTAACGTGATGAGGATATTGAAGATTAACGTCAAGATTGCTTCAAAAAGACTCTCATGCCAGAACACTATATACTAAGGCAGACTAGCTTGCCTAAGTATATAGTCAATACTCAACAATCCCCAAATCTTAAAGGGTTAATTTGGTAGACATACATATATGATATAAGATAACTTCATACACAAATCTTTATTCTCATCAAAGGCTTATGCATATCAATGCTTTTATGACTGAATACTTTCTCATGGGCAAGCATTTAAAACCTTAGCTAAGAACAGACAAGAGATGATGACCCAAAAGATGTAACACTTAGAAAAAGACCTGAAAATTCCAGATTTATACTTCTGATCAAGCTCAAGTAAATACCAAAACACGATCTCAAACAGATTATAATTCATTCGATCAGATTCTAATCGTAATCTAGTATCGGCGAAGATCTTACTACACTCGTTACCCGATCATTCCTTACAGCAATTCGAGAATTTCAGTTAGATTCGATAGCAAACTATAGACAGAAATAAAAAAACCCAAAATTTTCAGAATCTGAAAAAGCAGAATCATAATTTGATACAAAAATCGGAGAATCGAGCTTCCCTAACCTGAAAATCGAAAGGGGATCGAGTCTTAAAACTCGATCTTGAGCTCATCTTTGGAATCGGAGAAATAAGAGAAGACGTATGGAACAGCGCGGATAACGACAACCCAGCCTCCAAACAGAGCAGCATGAGTCCGTAGCTGCTTCAAAGCCACGGCTTTGTCTGGCTTTTGCATGAACATTCCAGGAAACATGGCTGCTTTTCTTCTTCTTCTTCCTCTCTTCTGATGTGCTTCTCTTAATAAGATTCTAAAACCCTAACCCTTTCCATTGATTTGCCGTCTCCTTTTTTCTATCAATAGAGATAGGCCGAGTTTTGGATCTGGGCCTTTAATTGAACCTTTTATTTCAATCTGAGGTCCGTAACAGAAAATTTGGGTTTTTTTGTCTGGTTTTCGGTTCGGTTTTCATATTTGTTTGTTACCTTCAAATTTGAATATCATACACATTCCATTCGGTTAAGGTACAAAAGTGAAAATTAAAATAGTTCTTTTTGTTTAATTTTTTCCCAGTTTGATTACAATTTTTGATTTTTTTTTTTTTTTTATATCGAAGATTACACCGAATCAGTCAAAATTTTATTATAATCAGCTAATTTCAAGCAATTTTGGTTTAATAAGCTATCGAAGGGAAAGAGGAAAAAGCTGTTGGTGGGAGAAAGTCAGAGAGAAGAGGATCTCTCTATTTTTCCTATTCTTATTTTCATTGTTTGAATAATAAACTTGGTTCTCTCTGTTCCAGATCAGAGTAAACCATTTTCGATCTTCACGTTTGTTTCCACATTCCCATTTGCTTCCTGTTTTTTAGAAACGATAAGTTCAAATAAAAGTTCAAATCAAATAAAGGCGTCATTTTCCAAACAAAGTGTTCTTTTGTTCCTCCTAGTTACAAATTTCTTAGTTATGAAGAACGACTTTCTCAACGTAGTATCAGAGTAATCTATCAACTTTTTTTAGAGAGGATTACTACACTAACCTTAGAAAGTATCTATATTATTTGTTCGACGCACTTTTATTTTTTTTACAAAATTAACCTAGCATACCCAAAACACCATTTTCGCCTTTGTTGAAAAAAACTTTATTACGAAAATGCCATTACTTTTTTAATGCCACGTAGGCAGATTTATGCGCTCAAAAATTAATAAGTCTACCAAGCAATGGCGGTAGACTTATGAAAATTTGGTCAACGCAGAAATTTTGTTGGTAGAGTTATTAGGGCGATGGTAGATTTATTCAAGAGTTGGTAGAGTTTTTAACTGTTGGTAGACTTTTTTTTTGTAGAGTTTTGACGATGAGAGGTAGATTTATTATGTTTCGGTAGATTTGTTGTTATGAATGACAGACTTGTCAAAAGTTTTGGTAGACTTGTTAAAAAAAGCGTTGACTTTCTCGTATAGTTGACTTTTTCGGTAGATTTATTGACAATGAAGTAGATTTATTTTCTGAGTTGGTAGACTTATTTCCTTTAGCGGTAGATTTATGTGAAAAAAGTTGTCAATACGTGCGGTAGATATATCTGTTTAATGGTAGAGTTATATATAGTTGGTAGAGTTTTCGCTATTGTAGTAGATTTGTTTGACTTGTGGTAGACTTATTTCACTTAAAATTCATTCCGGTGAGTGGTAGATTATATGTTACATGAGGTAGACTTAAAAACTGTTGGTAGATTTATTTGTTTTGTGGTAGATATGTTTGTTTTGTGGTAGACTTATATTTTAAATAAATTTCATTCTGATTTGTGGTAGATTAATAATGACATGAAGTAGACTTACAAGATGTTGGTAGATTTGTTTGTATGTTTAGTAGAGTTTATGTAATCTGGTAGACTTATCGACCGTATGGTAGACTTCTTGAAATAATAATGTGGTAGATTAATTAAGTTTGGTATTTACAGAGATAACCTTGATCTGGTAAACATATGACATGCTTATGGTAGACTTGTTTATATGGTAGAGTTATTTTTCATGCTTGAGGTAGACTTAGTTGTTAATGTTTGGCAGACATTTGACTTTTTGGATTGAAATTACTTTTTTGTCCTAAATATATTCTCCTATCTACGAAAAAACCAGCGGTTTGGTAGACTTGTTTTGGAATGTTGTATGTTAAACAGGTTTCGTACATATGGTAGACTTGTTCCATGGTTATATTTGACTTGGTTTTGTTACCATTGACGTTTTCTTTGCATGAGTTTGTTAAGATTATGTCGGTTAACTGTGATTCAATCACAGATGAGTATTGGTCATTACGATATAGATGCCATAATAAATGATCAAAAATTTATAACATGAATATTATTTCTATGATATATCTCTAAGATAACTTTGTTTTTCATATTAATTTTGAACATATATGTCATATTTGTAATAACCATCTCTTAACTTATGATCTTTTGATTTTTATTTTTGAATATTTGTTACATTTAACTCTATTTACATAAACTTTTACAACATCACAATGTCAAATGATTTCAGTTATGATATACATCATAGTGAAAGTAATGAAATAAATTAAATTGAATAATAACATTACTAGCAAATGTGATAAAAATGTGAAATGTCTGGATCAATGTTTTACGACAAATATAATTTGTAAACAAAAATATTATCATTCAAAATCTAATTATCATTTTTACAAATTCAAATATAGATATACAAAACAAATCTATCAAATGTAAATCTACAATTCATAGTAAAACATGTCGGATCGGTGTTGGATATCCCTTCAAAGATTTGTTCACCATGGCAAAGCCCATAATCTGTCAGAAAAAAATAAACAAATATTGCTATTCATATATAAAATTCAAATATATACGACTGATAAATCTACCATAAATAACTAATAAATCTACCAAACACATATCATTTTTCAAATAAGTTACCATTAAATGACTAATAAATCTACCAAATCACATCGTTTTACAAATAAGTCTATCATTAGATGACTAATAAATCTACCAAATGACATCGTTTTTAAAATAATTTTACCATCAAATAACTAATAAATCTACCAAACCACATTTCGTTTTCTAAATATATCTACCATCAAATAACTAATAATCTACCAAACCACATACCGTTTTTCAAATAAATCTACCATCACACATTATGAACTTTACAACAAAAAAAATACAAAATCGATTTCCAAATATATCTACCAAACGTACCTGAAAAAAAAATTTATGCCGCCGACAACCTCCACAACACCACCATTCCATCGAAACAACGTCTATCCACTGTGGTTTGCGCGACGCAGCGAGAATGCTGCTTAAGAGTCACCGCCAACCGCCACATCTCCATAGTTTATAGTTGATATTAGATCCAAAAACCCAGATCTAGAAAAAAATCAAAGAATTCGAAAAAATGAAAAAAAAACTCACATAATAGCAGAATGAATTGTAGAAACCATGGGAAGATCTAGATCTCCGAGCTTGGAAGCGTTGGAGGCTTCTTGATACAAAAAATCGGTAGAACTAGTTGTGTTTTTCTCGATCTGAAACATTGAAGCTTTGAAGTTCATAAAGAATACATATTCATACAACAAAAATTTAACAAAACAAAAGAAAAGATAAAGAGGAGAGCAAGAGAGGAATGAAAAGATTAAGAAGAAGAGCAGCTCCATGGGAGAAAAAAAACGGCGCATTAGAAAGAGAGAGAGAAGAAGATGAATTAGGGTTTCTTTTTTTTTAGTTTTTGGTTTTGTATATTTTTTTTTTTTTGCTTTTTTCGTTTAAAAAAATGCTTTTTTCGTCAAAAAAAATTTCGATTTTTTAAAAAGTTTTTTTCAAAATTAAAGTTTTTTCGAAAAAAAAAATTTATAAAAAAAAAATCATAATGACATTTTCGTAATAATATTCAACATCTGGATAAAATGGACTTAAACCAACTTTGTAAGGTTAGTCTAGTAAGTTCCTCAATATGTTAGGCTATTCTGAAGAATTTTCACCTTTTTTTATTATCTTTTTCTCAAACTATTTCACAGTTACTCTATGAAGATCCAAACGTGGTTTCGTTTTAGATTGTTTAAATCGTCAACTTTTAACAGTTGGATGTGTATATATAGTTAGAGATGCAATGTTAATAATTGTATATGATTCTACATATGCTAGACGAGAGCAACTACAATACATGTGAGATTGTGAATAATGAAACAAAAGATTTTATATAAAGCTCAAAATTCTCTATTTAGTAACTCTTACCAACAACCAAAGAAGAGCCAATAATTGTATAAAGTTTCCTACTTTTGCAATTTGCATAAAGTATTACGTATAGCTAAACTGTAAAATTCAAGTGCGCTTTTAAATAATAATACTCTGAAGCTAAGAAAAATCTAATTTTGATTTTCTTCTAACTAAATTAGGGGGCATTATAAGGAGATTAAGATAAATTTGGGAGATATTAATTAGTGTACTATCACGACTTCACATAATAGAGCAGGATCCATCTTCACCGTAGTACGGCGGTGGTGGTGGCCCACCGTAGCTATCGTAAACGGGCCTTTCGGGATACCCATTATGATAGGCCCAACCGTTGTAAGACCCATTATACATTACCGGCTCAGCCACCCTCATCGGCGGATTAAACCCATACATCATCGTTTGAGAACTCGGACCGGCTGGTGCTGGTGTGGACTTCTCTGCTTCTTTGGGCTTTGCTTCTTTGGGCTTTTCAGCTTCTTTGGGCTTTTCAGTTCCTTTGGGCTTTTCAGCCGCAGGTTTAGGCGGGTCAATGGTCTGGATAAGTTTTATAGCTCCACCTCCTTTCTTGCAGAGTTCCTCCATGACTTTTTCGGGACTGCAGCAAACCACTTTGATCGTGACTGTGTTGGACTTGTCGTCGAACATTTGGTCTTTTATTTCTTTACAGAGCAAATCAAAAGAAACACACATACACAAATCATTAAAGTTCGAATTTCAATCTCAATATTCAATTCAAGAACAGAAGAAAAAGAGAGAGATAGCTTACGAGGCAAGCAACAAAGAGCCTTCTTGACTTTTGAGCAATTCTTACTCTTATCAAGAGGTTCCGTCGTTACTTTCATCCAAGTTACCTGTTTTAGTTTGATTGGTTTGAAAGAGAGAAGTTAACCTTGAAATTAAAATCAACCCCAAAAAAAAAAAATTAGAAGAAGAGAGAAGAGAGCATTTACCTTCTCCTTGCCCATCTCAATCTTTTTTTTTTCTTTTTTTTGAAAGAACCCCATGTCAATCTTCGGGTTTTGAAAAGAGCGAGACAGAAAGAGCTTTCGTTGGAAAAAAAACTACCAAGAACAAAAAATATGTAATTCTTTTATGAATTACTATGCTTTATATATGGAATTTATTTAACAAAAATAAAAGAGATTGAAAAGGAAAAAAAGAATTGAATAATTTACAATTTTTGTGTTGTTCAACTGAATAATGTACAATTTACTTTTCTTTTTTTGGTTAGAATACCGACGTCCAGAAAAAGGGATATAATTCCATTGCTATTATTGAGGCATATATAGTCCTAAAAATGTAAAATTTTCCTTTTAGTTAATTTTTATCAATTTCCCAAGTATTGTGAGAGAATAAAAAAGAAGAAGGTTTAATGGACTTGACCTAAGCAAGTCAGAGACTCAGACGCTGACCTTCTCTCGCTCCTCCATTTTAATTCATTAAAGATAAAATATGTAGAATTGACACAATTTTTAAAGGCTATTAAGGGATACGTGATGTACGTAATTTGGTTTGAAATAAATTAGCAAAATCTAACTTAGTAGATATGCGATACATTAAGTGTAAAAGATGGCACCTTTTTTGTTGTTTCATTTAAATAGCGATCTGATGTAAATGACACAGTAGATTTTAGTTAATGGCTAGACTGTTTCATTCTTCCCAATGTTTAATTCTTATTCGGTTAATTTGATAAGTATGTGTAAAATTCACTTGAGCGGCAAAATGATAAATAAGAAATATTGTTTTTTAGAGAAAAAAATTTGCACGATTTAGTGTGTAAACTGTAATAATAATTCACAACTTATATTTTACTGATAAAGGCCATGATTAATTGGAGGTCGAAAATGTCAAGCATGCATGCCACACTTTTTTTTGGGTTAAATCATGCCACATTTGTATAGCCTATAATATATAGATCCTGATTACGACAGTGATTGGGAACTAGTGAAGTCTAAGGCTACAAAAAAGAAAAGACGAATAACATCAAACTATGAATATTTAATTATAAAAATATGTTATTTGTTATATACGATTTCAAACAAATTACATGCATTTATGATTTATATAGTCTACGTTTGTTGTAATTACTCTTCACTCTTTAGGATCATTCACACCCACCAAATCTACTTGCATATATAACACATAGATATACAAACATGAGTCCCCCAAAATATATATATATATATATACACATATAGTATTAAAATATTAAACTATAGAGAGATAGCTAACAAAAAACAAAACAAAAAGATAGGCTCCCAATAAAGGCGCAATTAAAAATCGGTCAGAAATACACCAATTGTGAGACTCAAGAAGTTATTGCTCAACCACTTCCTCTAACTCATAACTACAATCTCCAAACTTCACCACCGATATACAAAGACTTTTATTAACCTCAAATCATTTATTTATTATCCAATCTCCAAATACAAACACTCACACTCCTCATCTTCCTCATCCTCCATCCTAGTTTCTTCTTCATTAAAAGGTTATATTCGTCATTAAATTTCTTCACACAAATGGCTGCAACGGCGGATCATGTGGTGGTGGTGGAAGAAGGACGGCCAGCCACGGCGGAGCACCCATCGGCCGGTCCAGTTTATCGATGTAATTACGCTAAAGATGGCCTCCTCGATCTTCCTACTGATCTTGATTCTCCTTGGCAGTTATTTAGGTCTGGATCTTGAGACCCTTAACAATTACTATTTTATAATAATAATTAATTAGTTGGTCCAATGCAAATTAATTTGTGCTAAGTAATACAAAATGCGGATTAATTTGTGCTAAGTAATACAAAACTTTTGTATAAGATATGTTTTTTTGTTTGTTATACAGACTTGTCTTAATTATCTCTCTCGTGAATCTGTTTATTCCAGTGAGGCTGTGAAGAAATATCCGAACGAGCAAATGTTAGGCCGACGCTTAACAACGGATTCAAAGGTACAATAATGTAGTCATTAACTTTACTTTATTTTTATCTATAGACCAGTACCTAATTTTATTTTGAATTTTTTTTTTGTCAACAATTTCATATTTTTGGTATCATTTTAATTTATATGAGACTTTTGATTAATGTGTGTATATATAGGTCGGTCCATACACGTGGATCACATATAAAGAAGCTCACGATGCTGCACTTCGGATTGGATCAGCAATCAGAAGCCGAGGCGTTGATCCGGTACAATCCTATAATGTTTAATCTGATCGAATCAATCAATTATATAATTAATCGAAGTGAAAGTCAAAGGAAAAAAAAGGTATTTGCTTGAATTTTTTTTTTTTTTGGTGGATTAGGGAAATTGTTGTGGAATATATGGATCTAATTGTCCAGAATGGATTATCGCGATGGAGGTAAAACGAAAACTTTTGGCTTAAATTTCAGAAGTAGAAAGTTTTGGGTTTTATTTTTATAGTGTTCCTCTAAAAGGTTTATTTTGCAGGCCTGCATGAGCCAAGGGATAACTTACGTTCCTCTATACGATACCTTAGGTAATTTTACGTAGATATATATATATATATATATATATATATATATATTGGACAGATCAGTATTATTACAAGAATTTATCTTTAAATGTCTTAATTAATAAGTAATGGTCATGATCTGAAAAAACCTAATCCGAGATTTAATATGGATGACACAGGCGTAAATGCTGTAGAGTTCATCATCAACCATGCTGAGGTTTCGCTAGTATTCGTTCAAGAAAAGACAGTTTCATCCGTAAGTCCATTTTTCCGATTGAATTAATCATTCATACTATAAATTCCATTTTACGTTTCTTGTCACACAAGAAATGTTAGTTTTTACTGATTTGTGCTGGAAAGCTTTTGTGCAGATCTTAGCATGCCACAAGGGATGTTCTTCGAATTTGAAGAGTATGTTACACATTTTTTAAAAAAAAGTCAATGATTCGATGAAATTTTAACACTTAATATGTTATTCCAACTGATGATTTTATATTTGGTTTGATTTTTTTTTTTTTTGTGTCAGCTATTGTGAGCTTCGGGGAAGTCTCGAGTACACAAAAGGAAGAAGCTGAGAGTCAATGTGTTTCGTTATTTTCATGGCATGAGTTCTTACTAATGGTTAGTGTGTTTTAATTATATCCAAAATGAAAACTTCTATAATTTGCAAATATTTGAATTTTTGGGGTTTGTTTTACTTCAAGATTTAATTTGTGGGTCTTAATTAATTAGTAATATCTGATTATAATTTTTTCAGGGAAACTCGGATGAGACAAAACTTCCACGCAAGCAAAAAACTGATATCTGCACAATAATGTACACAAGCGGGACGACGGGAGAGCCCAAAGGTGTAATATTAAATAACGCAGCGATTATGGTCGAAGTTTTATCCATTGATAAAATGCTCCAAGTCACCGATCGATCGGTAATTTCTTTTTTTCAGTTATATATTCTAGATTTGTCATGTCACTAGCGATGACGAATAATACGCTTCATTAATTGTTATACAATCATTAATTAGCGATCAACAACGATCGTTGGTTCAACAATACACTTCGACGAAAATTTCAAAGACTAACAACTAAATTTCCATACGCCGAAAATATTTTGGTGTTATAAATCTCCGAGTAATGATTTGTCGATGAAGTGTATTGTTGAACCCCTCGATTCCAAAATAAACAAGATTTGGTCCCTGAAATTTGTTGCTGAACCAACTATAGATACAAAACAAACATGAGTTTGTTGTTAGTGTCAGTGGTCGTTTACAGAGCCATTTGTGGATCAAAGTTTTGGAGGTTTCAAATTGAGCCGATCCATAATGATTAAGTGATTGACAATTATTTTCTGGTTTTTCTTTCTTTTGAATTTTGTAGTGCGACACAACCGATGTTTTTTTCTCGTACTTACCATTAGCACATTGCTATGATCAAGTCATGGAGATTTATTTTTTCTCCAGAGGCTCCTCTGTTGGATACTGGCGTGGCGTAAGCAAATTTTTTCTTTTATTGTTTAAACCCCTTTATTTTATCCTTTCTAGCTCACAATATACGATCTCTTATATTTGTTTTCAGGACATTCGATACTTGATGGATGATGTTCATGCACTCAAACCAACTGTGTTTTGCGGTGTTCCACGAGTGTACGACAAAATCTATGCTGGTAATACGTTTGATCAAGTCGAAAAATTGAGGGTTCTCTTGTTTTTCTTGGTTGTTTTTAAAAATTTATTTTATTTCGTGGGTTTAGGTGTAATGCAAAAAATCTCAGCTGGTGGCTTGATACGCAAGAAACTCTTCGATTTCGCTTATAACTAGTGAGTTTTTACTTTCTTTCTTTCTCAAAATTAGAACACCCCTATTTCGGAATATCTGAGTCTTTATTCATCATCTTGTGAGTACAGCAAATTGGGGAATATGAGAAAAGGATTGTCTCAAGAAGAAGCTTCACCTCGTCTAGACAGACTTATATTCGATAAGGTGATCAGTGTGATATACATATATATTCTAGATAATGATATGTGCCATGCACGGACAAGAAGCTTTTAAAAGATGTATTGAGTTTAGTATTACAGTTTATATGTATATTTATTTCAAACGATTATTTATAACTAAAGTATATGTTGGATCAAAAAATATATATATACTTAATTCATGAATTGTGACAGATAAAAGAAGCATTAGGAGGAAGAGCTCATATGTTGTTATCAGGTGCAGCGCCTTTACCTCGTCATGTAGAGGAGTTCTTGAGAATCATCCCTGCCTCGAATCTCTCTCAAGGTTATGGTAAGTCTACACAAACCGATATTTTAGTATATATACTTAATGTCTTAATTAGACAATTAGTATTGACCCAAAAAATGTAATACTGTAATTAGTTTGGGCTAAACCGATTCTAATTACTTAAAATGTGACAGGATTGACTGAAAGCTGTGGAGGGAGCTTCACGACCTTAGCCGGAGTATTTTCAATGGTTGGGACAGTTGGTGTGCCAATGCCTACGGTGGAGGCAAGGCTTGTTTCGGTACCGGAAATGGGTTACGACGCTTTTTCCGGCGAAATGGCTAGAGGAGAGATTTGTCTTAGAGGAAATTCAATGTTTTCTGGTTACCACAAAAGACAAGATCTAACTGATCAAGTCGTGATCGATGGATGGTTCCACACAGGTATTGTTAATCTTGCCTTGTAAGTTACAAAATTTTGTTGATCTTAATTAACGAGTTGAATATTCATATTTTAACGGATATCCAACTATTTGTGGGTGGGTACGAAATCTGAGTGAATCGATCTATACCAAACAGTCCAGGTCATATATATAAATAGGATATTCACTACTAGACGTTAACCCTTAATTGTAATCAAGTAATAGTAACTTAGTGATTGTGGCCGTCTCGGTTGAAGATTGAAATTTATACAACGAATGTAGGCTCCAGAAATTAGTCTTCATTTCAGCTTTACAAGATAAACTTTTAAGGAATATAACGTTATAATTTTACTTTATCAATGTGTGTAGGAGATATTGGGGAATGGCAAGAAGATGGATCGATGAAGATTATAGATAGGAAAAAGAACATCTTCAAGTTGTCTCAAGGTGAATATGTTGCTGTTGAAAACCTCGAGAACATTTACTCAAGATGTCCCCTCATTGCTCAGGTATGTATTTATCAAAAAAATATCTTAAAATGACATTTAATTCAATACTATATCTGTAGTCATTGTTGTTGTCAAATAGAAGCAGAAAAAATTATAAAAATTGTTAACCGATAATAGTGTCTACCGATAATTTGCTAGATATGGATCTATGGAAACAGCTTCGAGTCGTTTTTGGTAGGAGTAGTTGTACCTGAGAGAAAGGCTATTGAAGATTGGGCTAAACTCAATAACCAACCATCTGTCAATGATTTCGAATCTCTATGTCAAAATCTCAAAGCCAAAAAATACTTCTTGGACGAGCTTAACTCTACCGCAAAGCAATACCAAGTACGTACACTTGTTTTTCCACGTTTGAAAAAAAAAAAAAACTGAAATGATGATTTTGTTAATTGTTAAGCGAAAGAACTTTCTTTTGTACTTGTAGCTTAAAGGATTTGAAATGTTAAAGGCGGTTCACTTGGAACCAAACCTTTTTGATATTGGAAGAGATCTTATAACTCCAACTTTCAAGTTAAAAAGGCCACAGCTCCTCCAACATTACAAGGTAATCCTTTCTCTACTCGCTTTTATCTTTCGTTATAGAGGTCCGATTGTTTGTTTTGTGTTTACGTTTGCGTTTCTATGATGTAACTGGAAACATGGAAAGGTATACGTAAACGCAAACAAACAAACGATCTTAAGTGCATATTTTGGATTAATGCCAATGTACTAATGGTCCTGGAAATGTACTTACTCGTGCATATTACTTTTTTAAACTCAGTTAAGATAACAAAGCTAAATTTTGTTTATTTCAGAGCATAATTGATCAACTTTACACAGAAGCAAAGGTGTCCAGAGCATAGAACCGATCCGGCTATCCACTTACTGATGCTTTTTTAGATGTATGATATGTCAAGATTGTATTCGGATCCTTTCATCATATATATTGATATGATATTTGTTATACTAAATACATAAATAGTTTGGAAGCTATATATTATTAAAAGAAATTTTTTCTTAATTGAATTTTGCTTAGTCTTCGATTTCACTTTTTATTCTCCAATAAATTTGAATCATTTTATTGGTTTATACTTTATAGTAACAAAAACATTTTACAATTAGCATTAGGTAGAACTTTTCGCAAGTTCGCAACAACTTACCGTCATTAGAGATAGAGTCAATTACTCCACCACAATCAATTTTCGAAAATTTATGACGTTAATTAATAATATGTTGTAGCTTCTAAAACATTAGTTTAACGTCGGTTCTAAGAGCAAGTCCAGTAGTAAACCCTATAGAGGGGTTCATCAGCATTTAAAAACAATATTTTTTGGTTTGGTAATTTGGGAATAACTCGGATGAAAATAGAGTTCTAGTAGTGAACTCCATTTTGCGATTTTTTTTTCTCCCAAAAATCGCAAACCCTAGAATCACGAAATCGAAATTAACAAATAAAAATACAAGGAACCGAAGCTTATCAGGATTATGGGGACGGAAGATCGATGTTCGGATTGCACCTCCACCGGGAATAATCGACGGAAAAGGTGGTGACGACGGAATCGCCCTGAATCGCCAAAGAACACGAACGAGAGAAGAATAAAATCGGGAAAAGAGAAAATGTTTTCTTTCTGCGGTTTTTTTTTCCCCCAAAATGACACGTTTTCCACAGCCAATCGACAGATGCCATGTGGTTCGCATGCGGAGTCTTCAGGATCGTCGGGATGAACCGCCCCTTCCGAGTTGGGCTTTTTTTCTTTTTTTTAAACCCAAAATGCATATGATTTTGTGCCCAAAATTGAGGAAGACCCTCTAATGGACCTGGTCTAAGTTCTAACAGTAGTATGTAATTTTAAATTTGTATTTTTAGGGTATTATATGTTGGTCCCAGATTTAGAGCTCAAACTCAGAACACAAGAACACTTTGTTTGGGCAATTAAGATTGCCTCTTTTTTTTGGCCTTTTCATTGATTTATATAAAGAAAAAAACAACAACGTGATAAGGGAAACTAGATCTCCTTATCGAACAGAATCAAAACCATAAAAGAAATCCCGAGACTGAAGTCTCTTATTTCAACAGAAGCAAATTGAAACAAATAAAAGAAATCCCAACAAACTCTCCTTATCCCAGATATCTCTGGTTCGGTACACGGGTCCGATTAGAGATATGTCTTTCCGGTTCAGTCACAGTTACGACTCCATCATTACCCTCCCCGTCAAGATGAATCTTGTCCTCAAGATTAAGCCGTGGAAAGCTTTCCTGCAATTTCCGGAGATTCTCCCAAGTGGCATCAGCTCGCTGCAAGCCTTCCCAAAGAACCAGACCCTCCTGTGTCTTGGCGCCACCCTGGATAACCTCCCGACGCTCAAGAATCCGTTCCGGAACCAAACGTAACAGTCCATTAGCACGCAGAGGAGGCAACGAACCCGCCATTGGTTCGTCGGAGCCCACTCGTTTTTTTAAAAGAGAGACATGAAAAACAGAGTAGACTCGTGTACCTTCCGGTAGCTTCAACCGATAAGCTACAGGTCCGATGCGTTCTGCAATTTGAAAAGGGCCAAATATCTCGTAGATAACTTCTGGGAGGTCCTGCGAAATATGGTATGTTGTCGATATGGCTGTAGCTTAAGGAAAACCCAATCTCCTACGTCAAAACAGACATCTCTTCTCTTGGAGTCAGCCTGTTGCTTCATTCGGTTGTTTGCAGCTTCCAAGTGGGTCTTCAACTCCTTGAGAATCACATCACGTTCCAACAACTGCTCATCTAACTCTTGGATGTTTGTATCGCCCGACTCGTAACCAGCCAGAGACGGTGGATCACGTCCGTACATAGCTTTAAAAGGTGTCATTCCGATAGATGAATGATACGTTGTATTGTACCAATATTCAGCCCACGGAAGCATGAAACTCCATTGCTTTAGGCCTGTTATGCACGAAACAACGCAGAAACTGTTCAATGCAGCGATTGACGACCTCCGTTTGCCCATCCGTTTGAGGATGATAGGCTGACGACATGCGCAACTTTGTACCCGATAAACGTCATAGCTCCCTCCAAAAAGAGCTCACAAACACCGGATCACGGTCACTCACGATGGACTTGGGAATACCGTGCAGCTTGACAATGAAGTCGATGAATACGGAAGCCACCGATTTTGCCGTATATGGATGAGATAGCGGAATAAGGTGAATTGATTTTGACAAACGATCCACCACCACTAATATCGACGTGTGGCTATTTGAGCGTGGAAGACCGTCCACAAAGTCCATAGATATGTTCTCCCATATACGGTTTGGAACCGGCAATGGCTGAAGCAACCCCGCTGGAGAGAGACTCTCGTATTTTGCCTGTTGGCACGTATCACACGCTGCCACAAAGTCTCTGACCGTCTTATGCATAGAAGGCCAATAGAATTTCTGCGCAAGACGTTTAAACGTACGTAAAACACCAGAATGGCCCTCACTAGGAGTGTTGTGATATTCCTCCAATAGTGGCATGATAAATGGTGAACCAGGAGGAAGGACCGCCCAATTGTGAAAGCAGAGTAAATCATTGCGCGAGGAATACACCTGTCCTGGCGCAGCTGCAGCGAGTTTGCCGATCCGGATCAGATATGGCTCTGTTGTCTGCAACTGTCGTAGCTCATCCCATACGACGGGAAAGAGCATCAGCCGCCGCGTTTGCCGTGCCTGTTTGTACGTTATCTCGTAATCATACCCTACTAGCTTCGCCATCCACTTATGCTGCTCAGGGGTAAGAATACGCTGCTCCAAGATGTAACGCAGGTTCCGCTGGTCTGTTTGTATAACAAAACGTCGCCCCAAGATGTAAGGTCGCCATGTACGTATAGCTATTACAATAGCTAGCATCTCCCTCGCGTAAGTGGACCAATTTCGTTTAGTTACCCCAAGAGATTTGCTCATAAACGCTATTGGCTTGCCCTCCTGTGACAGAATTGCTCTGATGCCTTCACCGGAGGCGTCAGTCTGTATTACAAACGGAATAGAAAAATTAGGTAAGGCCAGTGTTGGTGTCGTTGTCATGGCCGTTTTCAGGTTCACAAATGCCTTCTCTGCTTCGTCACTCCACTCGAATTTCCCCTTCTTTAATAGATTCGTGAGAGGTCTGGCGATAATGCATAATCCTTCACAAATTTCCTATAGTAGCCGGTGAGACCAAGGAATCCACGCAGCTCCGTCACGTTCGTTGGTGCAGGCCAATCGGTCATAGCTTTAATCTTGTTCTAGTTCACTTTCACACCCTCCGCAGAGATAATATGCCCGAGATATTCCAGTTCAGTTTTTCCAAACTCGCATTTCTTTTGCTTGAAAAATAACCTGTTCTGTCGCAATATCTCCCAAACCACACTCACATGCTCCAAGTGCTCCTCCAATGTTCGGCTATAAATCAGGATATCGTCAAAAAATACCAAAACAAATTTTCTGAGATGCTTACTGAAAATGGAATTCATGAGCGCTTGAAACGTCGACGGCGCGTTGCACAAACCGAACGGCATCACCAAATACTCATAATGACCGTTATGAGTACGAAAAGTAGTCTTGGGGATATCTGGGGAATGCACACGCACCTGGTGATACCCCGCCGTCAAGTCTAGTTTCGAAAAGATGGAGGCACCGTGCAGCTCGTCTAACATGTCCTCCACAGTTGGTATTGGAAATCTATCTTTCACGGTGATTGCATTTAAAGCCCGATAATCAGTACAAAAACGCCATGATCCGTCTTTTTTCTTGACCAGGAGCACCGGTGAAGAATACGGACTCGAGCTAGGTCGGATTAAACCTGCACGAAGCATGTCTTGGACCTGACGCTCGATCTCCTCCTTCTGAAAAAAAGCATAGCGGTATGGTCGGACATTTACAGGATCTACTCCTTCCTTCAGTGTGATGTGGTGCTCGATTTCGCGAACTGGTGGCAATTCGGTCGGCACCTGAAACACAGCTTCGAATTTATGCAGCAGCCTGTGAAATTCGTCGGGGATAGAGGAGACATCGTCGTTCATCTGAAACGTCAACGCAAAACATGGCTGACCCTCTTTTGCCTCTCGAGCTATTTCTATTGACTGAGCCTTAGTGATCTGTTTAGGATGAAGCCCATTAAGCACCACTTTCTGTCCAGCCCACATGAACTCTAAAGATTGGGCCTTCCAATCACAAAGAACAGGGCCCAACTGCTCCAACCAACAGACTCCCAACACGACGTCGAGTCCTGACAGTGAAAGAGCAAAGAGATCGACGGTGAAATTCTGACCTCCCAGCCCCATCTTCACCTCTCGATACGCACCCCTACACCGGAGTGGGTAACCATCAGCCACTTTAACATCAAAAGGTGTCGTCGCCGTCAACTTCAACCCTTATCGATTTGCAGCTTTCTCGCTAATGAAATTGTGGGTTGAGCCATTATCAATCAAGGCCACTAACTGTCGATGATTGATATCTGTCATCACTCGAATGGTCCTTGGTGAATCCCATCCTGTGAGAGCATTCATTGTAATCTCCGGCTCCTCCGTATCTCTACTATCCACGAACTCTTCCTCCTCGTCGCCATCGTCTTCTTATTCTAAAAGAAACAGCTGAGGTTTCCGACACTTATGTCCCGGCGTGTATCTCTCGTCACACCCAAAACACAGCCCCAAACTTCTCTTACGTCTCAGCTCCTCCCAACTCAATCTCTTTGGTTCTCCGGGAGTTGGCTCACGTTGTGCTTGAGGGCGTGAAGCCCCAGCTTGCGAAATCCGAGAAGACCCTGCTGGAAATGAGGTTAATCGACGACTGCGCTGAAGTTGGTCATCACGCATCCGCGCCAGTTCTATCGTCGCCTTTAGGGTTGTTGGTCGGAACATCTGTATGTTCTCGGAGATCGACTCCTTAAGGCCACCAATATACGTCCCAATCGAAGCCTTTTGAGTCCACCCTGTGACTTTGTTCTGAAGCCTCTCAAATTCACGATGATAATCCCTTAAGGATCCTTTTTGTGTAATCTTGGAGAGAGCCTCATCAAAGTCTTC